ATGAAAGAAATAATTTCTCTTAGTTTAGAATCTTAGTTCGTTGATGTTATGTTATATATAAGAAATTTGTCTGTTTAAATTTGTAGTACATATAATCTAAATATTAAAAGAGTGATAGATTGTTCAGCCTTAAAACCATAAATCTACTTCCACAATCATCACAACATTTAGAATAAGTCCCCTATAGTAGAATACCCATTCGATATAGTAAAATATATTTTTGTCTAGAGCTACAGATCTACTACGAGTATATGACGACTAAAATGTTCTGTTTTGTCAGATGATGAGTTAATTGTGTTGTTGTTCGGCTAATGATGTTATTATTTATTGAGAACATTTAAAAGTACGTTTCAAAATGTTTAAATAAATAAGTACTATTAAGACTTAGATAAAAGGGAGATTTCACTAGAATTACAGGTATTTTTAAACTTAATTTCCTTGCACATCAGATCTTATAAATAAGTGCTATTCTCAAAAGCTGAGGAGACGGCATTGGATTTGGTTTGAAATTTTTCCGCATTCGCAATTTTTTTAATCTGTATACTATTCTCATTTTATTTAAGTATTTTATATCTCTTGGGATCAGGGGAATAAAATAATCACAAATTAACGTGTTAATTAATAATAATAATAGATCAGACTATTTTGAGTATGATTGTTTCCAATAAGTAGAAGATAAGATTATTATCAACAGCGATACTACAGAACGACGTAAAATGTGTTATAATTAATGATTATTATAAATTAATTTCAAGACTCATGTTATTAACATAGCTATAACAAAGCAAATTTACTAACACAGATTTTATACTAGTTCGAATCCAGCCTGTGTTAATTCAACTCGTTTTTGTTTAGTAATTGTAGTTTTTAATCATCAAACTCTTCTATAATACAGCAAAAGCTGATTTGCTTGATTCTTAAATTCACATACATACGATATACATCGAGTACAGAAAAAACATTAAAAAAGGTTTTGCTTTTTGGGTAAAATAATATATGTACCAAAAATCTAAATATATATTTAAGAGTAATAAATATAATGTGTCTATAAATGTCTCAGTAACTAATACAAGCGCTTATGTTTATCAACAAAAGAGCTTTCTTTAAAAATTGATTTAAATTGAGCACCGAGTTTTCTTTTGGGTAGAAAATGCAAGTTTATGAAACATTACTAAAAATCCCAACACTTATATGTTATGTGTTTATGTTTGCGTTTACGTAATAACTAATATATTTAATAAAAATTTGTCTCGTACGCCCGGCCCTCGCGTTAAGATAACAATTATCGTCAAACTCACCTTATTTACTCGAGATAACACGAATTGTGACTCGTAAAATCACAATATACCCAGTTAGCAAAGAACGCGCAGAATTCACTTGAATGTTGAGAAAATCTTGTCGTCGTTTGTGGAAATTTGAAGAAAATCACTATCGCGTGCGCCAATTTCGGTGTTGTGTTTACAACTAAGGACGCCCGATGGACTGTCGTAGATAACTAATCAATTGGGACCGAATTCAATGACACACGAATCATGCAAGTTCATTTCCACTTTAACTCGTCTATAGATGTTTTAAAAGGCTTCAAACTCATATGTTTTAAACACAGAGTAACCCTTTTTACAATTAAATAAGTGGATCCAATTTTAATCTCAATTCTATTGAACGTAGTTAAAAAATATGTCTTAATTAAAAACTAATGCATATTTGAGTAATCACAATTATATTGCTTATTTATTTATTTACATAGGAAAGGATAGTTGACAAATTAGATATAATAGCTGTAGTTAATAGCTTGTAATAGATTAATTAATTTATTTCGTGTTTTACATCATAAAAAGGTATTTTATATATAAGTACTACACTGGGAACCTCTTTCTGACAATAATACATACTTCTTTAATTAGTTTGATTACTTATCACGTAACAGTTACATCGTTATTAGTTTTAACATGTGTTTGCATATGAAAGCTTGGTTTTGAATTGAAAATACGATGGACACAGTAGCTCTCGTGGAAGCAAGGAACATTGTAGTCGGATTCGAAACCCTCCCGTGTCATCGACTCTTCAATGTAAAGTAAAGTAACACTTAAGGTGGATGAGTGTCGGAAGCAGTTAAAAAATAAAAATAATTTCAATTTGTTGTGCTTTAATAATGGGGTCACTGAAAAAGCTTTGTCTAGTTTAAAAGTTCATTCACTGGACAATCAGCGTGCACTAATTGAGAGATTAGCTCATTGGTTTGAGGGTCTTTGAACCCTCAAAGAATGCCCTGATTATGATTCAGATAAGCGCTAATTTAGTATCAGATCAACACTTGACACTTAATATACCATTAAGGATGTAAGTAAGTATTATAAGTGTATCTAGGACACAATATTTAAATAAAACACTTTAACGGTTTAAAACGCGATATATTAGTTAAACTTATTTGAAAATGATTTTTAACTTTAAATGCTTTGCAACAGCCATGGTCACGGGGAGCCACGGCTGCTGCAAGGCATCCGAAAAACATGATTATTGTTACATTTACAAATCATAAACTGGTAGACAAAAGATAAAGATAGATAGATTTCAAATAATAAATTGATACATGGAATTTTCAACGGTTCTTTGAAATTAAAAATCATTTCTCCTCTTTTTCACAAATTATATTTTTAACTTTAATACGCCTGTCAAAAATGTAAGCGCAAAATTACCGAACGACGACGCAACCAATATTTTCCAACAGGCGCAATGTTTTAATACTTGAACTACGCATATAAGATTTACATTTAAGTATTCTTTTGTTGCGAGTTGCGATGATAAACAATTATAATAATTGCTTTATTTACCCAACGTAATTAATCAGTAGAGTTAATTATCTATCACTGTTACCTATCTCCTTTTCAAAGTCGTGTTCTTCATTGCTGAAGGTCGGGTTCGGTGGTAAAAATTCTACATAGTAACTCACTCCGCTTCCCGAGTAGTCTTAGTGTTTGGGGTGACAGAGAGGCAAGTCTCCACAGACTTGACTTGGTCTGTTAAGCGGCAAAATGCGGTAGCGAAATCATCGTTTCAGTTCTCCTATCGAGTGAAGAATTCTAGTTCATTACTAAAATTACTAAACTATGTGAGTTCTGTTTTCACCGCAATAAGATGATGTCTGTTGAATGTATACTTAGAGAACAGAAAAGAGAATTTATTGAGAAACTGGTATACCACGTAACACGGCAAGTGACAAATATAAAACGAGATATTTATCTCAAGCGAGAATTGGGTAGGTTTTAGAATTCGATCCACGCAAAACATTGTTTAAATATTTGCATTTACCTGTGTAGAATAATTATAAATCAACTGCATAACCAATAAGCATCCTAACTGCCTAAAGTAATGTTAACAAACGCTCGTTTTAATTTTAGAGCCAGCATTACTTCTGTGGAACCACAATTTTAGGATATTTTGAATCGTTCTGAATTTAATTTATAAGTACCATTTTTGATCGCTATATTTCGATTGGGAATTTGGTATATTCCGTAGGACGCATTAAAGACCTGAAAGGCGTACTACCTAATGGACAGACGACCTGGTCCATAGAGCTGGAAGCACGAGCGATAGATCGTACTCGACGCCTTTTGGGGGAAGTTTAGCAATAGATATTGAAGAAAACTAAATTACTTTACCATTATCCCTAATCATTTACATAACATTTTAATTCACAGCGACCACACTTTTATTCATTTCTATAATCACATAATATATAAATTTCATTAAAAGTTCGCGTGGCTAAAAGACCAGCGCATTTGAACAAATGCCCAAAATAAATTTAAATACATTCGATGTATTGAAACAAGATAGAACAAAAAACACATTAATGCTTTTAGTTGTTATCTTTGCATAGATTTCGTCTATCTATATTATGTTCATTTTATACACATTTGCTCGTATATATGGCTGTGTTTCTCAAACATTAACTGTTCAACTAAGAACGTTGCAAAATTTGATAAACAAAAATAATTACAGCAAGTCGTTCCGTACAATGTTTTTATTCAACAAATTTTGTCTATGGATCCTTGTAGGGTTAATTGAATTGAATACGAGAAAATGGAAGGAGGATTTGTAGATTTAAGTTTGAGAAGCTTAAATATCTATGAAGGCGATGCAATTATGAAACAGCCTGCTTTTTTCTTGACTTTAGGCACGTAATGATCGAACGATTAAATGTAGAATAACTATTTCTAAACTATACTTATAGAAACATAATGGACGGCTTTTCAAATAATTTATACATTAAATAAGTTACTTTGTCAGAATGGGATACCGAAAAGTAATTTATCAATAATCGTTAATACTTATGACGTGTCCTAAGCGCAGGATTAAGACATTTTTTATATTTTCTTAGATATGCTCGTTAATTGGCGATACTGTATCTATTATCTAGATATCATTCACTCGAATCATTTATAATGTTTCTTCGTCCATTATGTGTTTAGTATTGTTTATTAAAGAACTATAAAAGAAAACTTTTATTATAAAAAACAAAGTCGAGTTCCTAGGTTTGTTCTTACTCGAGAACGGCTAAAGCGATAGGATTAGAAACAGTATTATGTTAAATGCTGTCTATAATTTACGCGAGTAGTACACGTTTAAATAAAACCATTTAACGGTTTAAAACACATTATATCTCGTTAGCCTTTGTTTTTTTTCGCCCCCCCTGTCCCCGGGGAACCCCCCCCCCCATTTTAAATTTTTTTTTTTTTTTTAACATTAAATCGCGTTTTAAACCGTTAAAGTGTTTTTATTTAAAAGTATTATGTTATCTTTATGATAAAGAACTCAGCGTTTGAACCGCCGCGTGTGTAAGAGGCCTGAAACAGACAAGATGAAAAACTTATCAGTCGGATTGTTCGCGAAATCATGTATTATCGTTGCAAGCGTGCGCAAGGTGAGACTCGATAGTATACACTCCATAGTGGAGTAGCGAGCACGGGCTACTGACAATACACGAGTAGTGCAAAGTGACTATGGTTATATACAGGAACTATGTTTGGCCGTTGAGCGCCGGAATCGGCTTGACTATATTTGGTGCGATTCTTAGTTGTATATGGTCGGACTTATTCTTCTCGCAGATAAAAAAAGTAAGCAAATGTGTAGAGCATTTAGAAAAACACCGCGTATTTTAAGGGATCTTAAGGGATCAAGGAGCCAAAATAATTATTAAGTAATTTGTAATATTTTTCCCGCGCTTTTGTGTACACTATATATATATAGTAGCAAAGTAGAGACTGAAGAGTTTACTTCCTAAGTTAATACTAAGTAAACGTCTGGATAGGAAAAAGATAAACTTTGAAGTAACAGACCAAACTTAAAATTTCTTGAGCGTTGTTAATTTCAAGATACAAGTTGTATTTATCTTACGACTTATTTATATATATATATATATATATCTATTTTTACTCTCACTCCTTCAGAACTCACTTAACCGAAGGGATTAAGTAAGTTCTAAAAAACTTTCACTCAAAAACAACTATACATCGCCTTCCATATTTCATACTCTGTTTTATGTCGGTCTTAAAAGGCACCACATATGTGTAATTGTTTTATAACTTGCAACAATAAAAAAAACATGCAATTAAATAATAGATAATTATATGTCACACATTGAAAATGATACAAATAGAAATTCTTAAACTCAAACTGCTACGAAAAGTTTAGTCCCTTTTTATTTATTAGAAGGCTTTACAATTAAATATTACTGAATATAACTACAGACATATCGAGAAAAGACATAAACACATTTATTTTAACTATTGTGTACTTAACAACTGTGATGTGTAAGGAAATTAAAAAAAATAGAATACTTTATTCAATTAGTAGGAATATAAAAATGCAAATAACGAACCACAGTTGGAAGGATAGTGAAGTAGAGGTTTTTCCTTTTCGCTTTCAAACTGTAGATTTCTGAATTCAAGTCTTCTTTTAAGTGATCTCTTGTTGTTTTGCTAGTCTGCCTTCGTCTGTCAAAAAAGACTGACTTTTTATTTTTACGGTCTAAACACAGTCATTGCTTGTCATAATCCAAATAGAAAATCTATAACAAAACGATGACAGGATAACTTATGAAGCCAATATTAATTATTTTCTCCATATCATTAAATTATTTTATACGCCTTGTACAGATTGTAAATTTATATCTATACTAATGTATAAAGCTAAAGAGTTTGTTTGTTTGAACGAGCTTATCTCAGGAACTACGGATTCGAATTGACAAATTATTATGTTAATAATAATAAGTAATATTGTGTTGGCTAGAACATTTATCGAGGAAGGCTATAAAATTGGCATTGCGCTGTGACTAATAGAAGCAAAGATACAGCGTGAAAAGTGAATAAAACTGAGGATTTTTTTTCATCTCTCTGGGTGTCAGTTGCGTACGCCGCATGAAAGAATTGTTTATCTTTAAATGATTAAAAAGAAAATTCCGCGACGTTATATGTTCATCTTTTAATATTAGCTTAAGTTTATAAAGATGACGGGGCTTGCAAAACCTAATTGAGATGCCCAAAATAACGATTCTCGCGGACGAAGTCGCTGGCACAGCTAGTGACTAATAAAATGTCCTAAATACGCTATTCCGAAAATACTTGGCATACTTTTCGACTAACTCATACTTTTAGATAATCTAATCATTTCCAAGTTAAAATAATAAATGATAAGCGATTCTCGCGAAAAATATTACGGACACGAAAAAGGTCTCTACCGAATGTAATATAAATACTAGACATTTAATCATATTGATAAATATGATAATATATACCTATACTATACACAAAAGTTTAAAGTACTCATGTAGATAATATAGCTTACTATAGATGGTCAAAAGGCCGGTTAGCAAACAATATTATTGTATATCATCCTAATTGGGAGTTCAACTGTTCGAACACGAATATTATACCCCAAGAATATCTATATCCGCTCTTGACCAAATTGTATAAGAGCACTAAGTACCTGATGAATAAATATTTGTTATTATTACAAGAGCAGATACGATATATTAGTGCTCAAGTCTTCTGGCGATATTACATTGCGCAAGAAGTGCATGTATCAATAGGTTGAAAAAAAATCGACATGACATGTAGGACACGGTAGCTCAATTTGTTAGAGTAACGGCGGAATGTGATGCAGTTAAGTCCTGTGCTTTCGTTAAGTTTTTAAATTTATAATCGCTGTTAATTAATACCATCTCATTTCAGATGATGATCCTCTCCGAGGGTTCCACGTCTTTCTACATCTGGCGCGACATTCCCATTCCCATGTACCTGGAGTGCTTCCTCTTTAACATCACGAACGCTGAAGACATCCGCTCGGGGAAAAACGTGAGCATCCAAGTGCAGCAGGTCGGGCCTTATGTCTTCAAGGAGATACGGAAAAAGGTAAGATGATGAGGCAAGAATGGATTTGAAATCTATGATAATGCTGTCGATCTGTAAGGGTTTATTTAGGGCAAAAAAAATCAAAATATAAGGTTAAAATCGATTAAATATTTAAAAATAAAAAATATGACTCGGGCAGGACTTGAAGCGACATCCACAGCGTTCCGTGCTGTTGCTCTAAATAATTGAGCTGCCGTGTCCTACACGTCATCGTCGAATTTGTTCAACCTTTATTGATGGGTGCATGTATTTTTAATATATAATTGATTTTAAATATATATAGTGCCACTTTGTGCTTAACATGTGAAAAATATTAAAGTTTTCAAAGAATGAGGTTTTACAATTTTTACATCTAAGCATGGTTTTCTATATCATACTATTGCTTTTTATTCATAAACAATTTGTATCTTATTCTACCCATGAGTTAAATGTTACAAAAGGTGGTAAAGTGTCAATAAAACGACTTGACATTTTTGAAGAACAAACGGACTAGTACTTGTAGTAATATTTATATTCGTGGAATTAAACAAAAAACGATTGCATTCTATTAGTTTACACGTCTAATTAATTGAACTGCGTTTATCGATTGCATGTAGATAACGTTATTGATGCGCACGCGCATAATAACGTGTTTTCAGACACACTTAGTGACTATTAAGGCAACTTGTAAGACAATGTTGTGTGAACTAATTAGTATAACAGGACCGTCTAATTCGTTGTGCAAAAAATATATTCAATATTATTTGTTGGCTTTTAAGTCGCGAACATCGGCGCCACACTTTGTGCCTTTCGGTATCCTAAAGAATTCCGGTGTTTTTCACATCACAGACACAATCAACAGAACATCAATGTTAACTCAGATTCCATCTACTTTTAGTAACGACAGCAAAGTTATGGAAACAAGAAAGAAGTCAGTTATAAAAGAAATCTCTTTATAAGCTCTATATATTTTTTTCCTCGAGTTCTTTCAAAAGCGAAATCTCAATGTTATTAAATTTGAATGCATTGACTTAGAGCGAGATAAGGAATATGAAAGAAAATGACTTTCAAACGTGCAATAACCTCGCGATATCAATTAATAATTATTAATCAACGACCGTTCTATGAAAGAGAGTTGGTGATTTGTTTGATAAGTTGACTTTCAGGGTACACAAATTACTGATAAAGGCTTGTCTCTAACACTGACCTTTTTTTTTTTTTTTTTTTTTTTGGGGGGGGGGAAAAACCCCCCCCCCCCCCCCCCCCCCCCCCGGGGGGGGGGGGGGGGGGGGGGGGGGGCCCCCCCCCCCCCCCCCCCCCCCCCCCCCCCCCCACCCCCCCGCGGCCCCCGGGCGGGGGGGGGGGGGCCCCCCCCCCCCCCCCCCCCCCCCCCCCCCCCCCCCCCCCCCCCCCCCCCCCCCCCCCCCCCCCCCCCCCCCCCCCCCGGCCCGCCGCCCCCCCCCCCCCCCCCCCCCCCCCCCCCCCCCCGCCCCCCCCCCCCCCCCCCCCCCCCCCCCCCCCCCCCCCCCCCCCCCCCCCCCCCGGGGGGGGGGGCCCCCCCCCCCCCCCCCCCCCCCCCCCCCCCCCCCCCCCCCCCCCCGCCGGCGGCCCCCCCCCCCCCCCCCCCCCCCCCCCCCCCCCCCCCCCCCCCCCCCCCCCCCCCCCCCCCCCGGGCGGGCCGCGCCCCCCCCCCCCCCCCCCCCCCCCCCCCCCCCCCCCCCCCCCCCCCCCCCCCCCCCGGGGGGCCCCCCGCGGGGGGGGGGGCCCCCCCCGCGGGGGGGGGGGGCCCCCCCCCCCCCCCCCCCCCCCCCCCCCCCCCCCCCCCCCCCCCCCCCCCCCCCCCCCCCCCCCCCCCCCCCCCCCCCCCCCCCCCCCCCCCCCCCCCCCCCCCCCCCCCCCCCCCCCCCCCCGGGGGGGGCGGGGGCCCCCCCCCCCCCCCCCCCCCCCCCCCCCCCCCCCCCCCCCCCCCCCCCCCCCCCCCCCCCCCCCCCCCCCCCCCCCCCCCCCCCCCCCCCCCCCCCCCCCCCCCCCCCCCCCCCCCCCCCCCCCCCCCCCCCCCCCCCCCCCCCCCCCCCCCCCCCCCCCCCCCCCCCCCCCCCCCCCCCCCCCCCCCCCCCCCCCCCCCCCCCCCCCCCCCCCCCCCCCCCCCCCCCCCCCCCCCCCCCCCCCCCCCCCCCCCCCCCCCCCCCCCCCCCCCCCCCCCCCCCCCCCCCCCCCCCCCCCCCCCCCCCCCCCCCCCCCCCCCCCCCCCCCCCCCCCCCCCCCCCCCCCCCCCCCCCCCCCCCCCCCCCCCCCCCCCCCCCCCCCCCCCCCCCCCCCCCCCCCCCCCCCCCCCCCCCCCCCCCCCCCCCCGGGGCGCCCCCCCCCCCCCCCCCCCCCCCCCCCCCCCCCCCCCCCCCCCCCCCCCCCCCCCCCCCCCCCCCCCCCCCCCCCCCCCCCCCCCCCCCCCCCCCCCCCCCCCCCCCCCCCCCCCCCCCCCCCCCCCCCCCCCCCCCCCCCCCCCCCCCCCCCCCCCCCCCCCCCCCCCCCCCCCCCCCCCCCCCCCCCCCCCCCCCCCCCCCCCCCCCCCCCCCCCCCCCCCCCCCCCCCCCCCCCCCCCCCCCCCCCCCCCCCCCCCCCCCCCCCCCCCCCCCCCCCCCCCCCCCCCCCCCCCACCACAAAACTCTAACACTGACCTAACCTAACACAGGATTTATATTAATTAAATTTTATTTATTTATTTTACACTTTGGTACACAAAACATACAGATACACAATGCAATTTTACAACCATACAGTGAAAGGGTGGCCTTATCTATATAAGAGATCTCTTCCAGGCAACCCGAGTAGAAAGAAACTTAATAAATAAAACTAAATAATGTGCAGGAAGTGCGAAATTTAAGTTATACGAAATAAACTTATATTAATAATAATAACCCATCAAATAAAAATTAGAAAAAGGAATAAAAAGAAAAATGCCATAATAAGGACAGAAAATAATAGCAGGCTTTTGAAGGAAGTCAAGGCAGGGACTAGGCGTACTGAATCAGGTAGAGAGTTCCAAAGATTTGTATAATTCTCATAAGGCATTTACTTTCCAACATAAGTATTAAGTTTAAAAATCGAAAATAAATTGAAAAAATTTTCGACTCGGGCAGGGCTTGAACCGGCATCGTCAGCGTTCCGTGCTGTTGCTCTGCCGATTTAGCTACCGAGTACTTGACTCGGTAGCTAAATTGGTAGAGCAACTAGGTAAATTGTATAGTGCCTTAATGTGCAATGACATATAAAAAATAAAAAAGTTTTAAAAAGTATCACTTTTAATATTTTATTACATTTTACTTACTTCAGTGAGTGACCTGAGTGGTATGTAATAATACAAATAATAATAAAAATCATTTATTTTTGTAACTCAATAACTAAACTTATACAGATTACATAAAATATACAAGGCTTCAATAAAATTAACTATGGCAACTTCTAAAACAGGAGCCACTCAGCATAATGCTACGAAAATACATGTGTTGCAACAGTGATTTTCAGTGACCCCTTTGCGCCACTGCTTCTGAAGAAATAATATATGTGTCTGTTGTACTCCAAAAAAATGGCACGTACTTCCAAAATGAAGAAAAACATCGGGACAAAACTGGAATATCGGGAATCTAAAATTACATGTCTCATGTACAGTAGTCTCTGGATATCCAGTATCTCAGCCCTGGATACTGTAAAAAAAGTCTTTACATCCTTCATAATTAAATTAAAATTTCATTTTATATCAAATTATGACGAAAACGTTTCTAAATCAATCTAACACCGACAGCTTGGTGCAGCAAACTAGTGTCGGCGTACTAGTTACTTGTTATGTTAACGATCGATTAATTTAAGTGCACCGCGAATTCCTTAATAAATAATTCCGGTCTCTGGAAATGTATTCCATAAAGACATAATACCAGTTTCGTTAATTCGTTTAAAAAAGATGTCTGCCCATCCTTAAGCCATACAATTCAATTACCGATATAAAAACGCTTAAGAACTTTTACATTCTTTAATTTAGCTCATAACATTCAAGGATTCCTTTTTTTAAGACCGAAGTACGATTAACTTTGTCTTGTAAGACGTCGATTTTACACAGCAGTTTCTCTGTGGTTAAATTGTTTTATTTAACCGACTTAAAAAAATATTTATAATGATCCGAGCAGAGGCTTCTTTATTTAGTCCAGTCCTTAAATAGAGGTGATGTTATACTAATTCCCATAGAGCTAAAATCGGTATAAATGGTCAGAATAAATATAAATAAATTAAATGAACAGTGAGAGTTCCCCATCGACCTCCCTTTCGATATTTTTTTTTTATAATTTTAATAATTTACTTATAAACCGTATACCAAATACCATAGGCATACATAATATTTTTATAACGCGTAAAATATCGATAAAAGGTAAAACGTGAACTTCCACTTCCTCCTAAGGGTCGTGGAGCTAATACACATCTGTGTCCGTTTCACCAATCTATAGTTACAAGCAAGTAGTATGTCAGACTACTGTAGCTTACCTTAGCGAACACGAAAAAAAACATTGAGCGAATAAAAGCACTTTGTTATGTAAGTGCCGATAAAACTTTGGATTGTAATTTTGAAAATGTCCAATGTGAATGACCCCGTCGGTAATTTTCAAGTTTTTTAATCTATAAAACAAATGAAACATGCCTCTCAGTGCTAAAAAACACACCTACTTTACATATTATAAATTTGCATTATACAAGTCTAGCCCGTATTGAATATTTTGTTCAATTTATAGTATTGTGTAATTCGTTTAGGAAAAATCCGTGTTATCACTATTATGGTACTATGTCTGCCATTGTAAATTTCGTCAAAAAAATGATATGATTTTATTAAATTAAAAAAATAGGTGGAGTTTGTTCAAATACTAAACTTCAAGGGATTAAAAATCATGAGTATTTATCCGTTAGGTTAAGTTAACGGACAAAACTCCTACCACGACACAATTGTATAAAATATAATATTAATTAAACAGGTTTACAATAATAATATATCCCGTTTACAATAATAATAATAATAAATCCGTTAAATATGTACATGGAATTTTATCTAAGAACATCAAGGGGTCAACTTAAAAAAGGTGATATTCTCCAACTCCGTATTCGACATAATTCATACGAAATGCCCTAATTTGCGACTTGTGTCGTATATCTGCTCTTCTTTAATGATAACACTGTAATAAAATGTTCGTTTCGAAGCACTTGCTAATTAGAATAATCACAATTTTAAATGGCTCGTGAATTAATTTCAATACAAAATCTGTTTTCACTAATGCACTCAAAGACGGATGAAGGTTACTGGTCTGATATATTATGTTTTAGCTGATTTAATTATTCTAATTAATCACACACATTCGTATATGCGCGTGGGTGTGTGCGTGAATAGTATTTTATTGTATGCTTTTAGACCATCGCGTAAATAAAGGAAGTGTTGCTATACACTAGATAAGGGTTTTGTTTGGAGCCAGTATACACAGTTTCTTCGGCAAATGTTATTAAGTATTGTTAACAATGTAGAGGAGTACCATTAAATAAAACACTAGAAATATTTACCTCCATCACTTCTTCTCCCTTTCCACCTTCAAACATCAACTCATTCAAATTAAATGAATAAAAAGTTACACTAAGTGTCTAATTTAAGTATATGTATAAGAACTTTTATTTAGATAAACTTTAAATAAAATCAATTAAACGTGTAATATTAAAATATTTACAAATTATTTATATTTATTTATTTATATATTTTAACTACGGCCCGATGTTTCGGATCATGAGAAGACACCCGTGAACACGGCGAGGAAATTATTAATTTTGTTCCATTTACTGTTTTGTTTTTGAACATTACTATCGTAAGCCGTCGCCAGGAGGGGGTCATTGGGTCATGACCCCCCCCCCCCCCATCCCTCCACCTGAGCAGGTTTCACCGGTAATTGTAATTTGTAATTATTAACTTATTATTTTTCTCGCTTATTCCAGACGAGTATTATCTTAAGTACTAAAGCAATTATTATCTCCGTACAAGTTGCAAGTGTTCCCACGTCTAAACCTGTTCTATGGAGAAGTGCTGAGCTATTTTCGATTGCACAATGTTTAATAGGCTTGCCAAAAGATACACAAACGATCATGTAAATAATATTACAAGAGATGTAGGAATTGCCATCTTAATGGCTTTCGTTTGTAATCTTAATTCAAGACATTATTAACACGTTGCAATAAAATTTGTATTCGATTATTCAGGACAGGTATGTCTACCTATACTTATATTATAAAGCTGAAGAGATTGTTTATTTGTTTAATCGAGTTAATCTCATGAACTACTCGTTCGAATCAAACAAGTGTTTGTGTTGAATTGACTATTTATCGAGGAAAATACATAATAATCTACGGCCAGTATGAGCAAAATGACGGGGGAAAATGTGAAAATTATTCATCTCTAAGGGCTTCCGTAGCGTGCGCTGCAAAAACGATTCAAGGACGAAAAACATCTACGAAAGATTGATTGATAGTTTAAAAAGTAATCATTCACGTAGAGAATATGCCTCTCTTTAAAAGTTAACTCGCAAGAACCGTTTTTATTGGAATAACCACAACATTTGGTCGAAATTAGTGCGTTTTTAAGTATTTGTTAGAGTTGTATCAACATAATAATATTTATCAAGATTTGCAAAGCCGGGTCAGCTAGTGTTATATATATATATATATATATAAATTGGTCTCAAATATTGTTATAAATACGTTCAATAAAATGAACGCAAAATTAACTCATATTTGACTACAGTAATGCTTCGCATTCGCAGAAATATTGCGCGTTTGAAGCTTTTAAATGTGATTTCTGTGATTGCAAACAAGACTACCCAAATATTTTCATGACTGACTTTCCAGCAATTTATTTGTCTACAACAAAAAACGTTTCTATTATGTTAACATTTACGGGTCATATAGTTTATATTATGTTAAAGGGGATTATGTAATAAAAGTGGGTATTGAAACCAATAAGAAAATATTTCATTCATAAATACAACCTAGCTCTTCATATCACAATAAGTGTATACTGCAATAGATAAAGATATTTGTTCACTTATATATTATTTATTATTCATAAACTTTATATCATATTCCCAGGTGAACATAACTTGGAACGACAATGGTACAGTGACGTACAGAAATCAAAGGTTCTGGTATCATCAGCCAGAGGTGTCCAATGGGAGTCTATCGGACGTCGTCACAAGTATCAACCCTATTATAGTGGTAAGTGATAACCCTAATATTAAACTTTGATTTACACCTGGGGTGATAATTCACGCTTAGCGCAGCTCTACTTAAAATAGCAGTTGCGATGACAAAGACTACGTAAACTGCTTATTTCAGGCCAAAAAACACACACATTATAATTATGAAACGTAATAATAACGCCACTGTTTCCAGACTATAATTATAACTGATAATTGACACAAAACTGATCTATTATAAGTAATCGGAAGAAAATTAGAAAAGAAAAGATGACTTTAAATAAAACACTTTTAACGGTTTAAAAGACGAAATATTTTCGTCTTTTAAACCGTTAACTAACTAACTTATTTTTCATTTATTTTATCTACGGCCTGACGTCTCGGTTCCTTTAACTGCTGTGCTAACGTTGGGCTGTAGTATAAAATAAAAAATTAGTTATCTAATATATTTGCGTTTTAAACCGTTAAAATATTTTATTTAAACATATACTTGAGTACAATCTACAGACGGTATAAAATGTGATTGTATTCTTTTGCTAATATCATTGTAAACAATTTCTTTTAGACAATCGCCTACGCACTGCGCAATGAACGCGTAATGTTGAGAGTGTTCGTGGACATGGTAATGCGTATGGTGCACAGGGAGATTTTCATGAGGGCCAACGTGTCGGCTTGGCTTTTCGATGGCGTGGAAGATCCCATGCTGAACCTGGCAAACCGAATCCCCAATCTGCCTTACGATATACCTTTCGATAGATTCGGGTGGCTGTATGCAGTAAGTTTGAGATTAGCCTAAATTCGTAAAGGATATCTATACTAATATATAAAGCTGAAGAGTTTGTTTGTTTGTTTTAATCTTAGGAACAACTAGTTCGAATTGAAAAATTGTTTTTGTGTTGGTTAGAGCATTTATTTCGGAAGGTTTATAGTTTATAGAAGTTTAAATACACTGGCATTAATTTGGTACATTGGAAGATTGGAACAAAGCCTTCGTTTAAAATGTGTTTATTTCGTAGCGAAACGGTTCAGTGGATTATGACGGGGAGTTCGTAGCTAACACGGGAGAAAAAGACTTCTTTCAATTGAGCATGGTCGAAACGTGGCAACACACAAACAGGACAGTGTACAGAGATAAGTGCGGGGACCTTGTTGGATCTTCCGGGGAACTTTGGGCCCCCCAGCGGGGACTGGATGAACTTCATATCTTCGCCCCCGATATTTGCACGTGAGTCATTGCAAATTTATAATCGTCGGTCGGCAGTATCTGGATTTATAATAGTGCTGACTTAAACCGAATATAATTGCGGACTCAAAAGTGATGTGTCCCAAAAGTGGAACACAATATTTGTTGAGTATGCACTTATTTTATTTTTGAATATTTTAGACAAAGGCAATATTGTTTGTCGGTTTAATGGTAACAATGTATCGTTAATTTAAAAAACGAAAATAAATTGAAAAAATTTTTGACTCGGGCAGGACTTGAACCGGCATCGTCAGCTTTCCGTGCTGTTGCTCTACCAATTGAGCTACCGAGTCCTACACCTCATCGTCGATTTTTTTCAATTTATTTATACACGCACCTATCGCAATTTAAAAAAAAAATAATTTAATTTCGATTTTTAAATTATATAGTGCCTTCATGTGCAATAACATGTAAAATGTATGGTTAATCAAGGGGTCGTCGTTTTAATCCCCACTACGTCCAAAGTGGGGATTAAAACGACAACCCCGTCTCTAACCAATTAAAATTTTCTAAAACATAGACTTCCTCTGGAAATCTAGATATTGAATTGGTGGTGGAAATATCGACATTGCATCCGGGTCACGAACTACAGACGAAAAAACCGTCTAGTTAAATCGCGTTTCGGTTTCAGTCTGTGGTGTTTCAAATATCCAAATCCAAAAAAGGCCGACAGCGCATCTATTTTACCTACCATCAAGTGATCCCATGCTTGTTTATCCTCCTTTATCATAAAAAAATGAGTGCGTACGACATTTTGTCCCAAGCGCTGTAATAATTAGACGTATAGCGCACAGAAATCATATAGCATAAATAGTTAAGATAAAATTACTTATGCACATTCCAGGCACATGACGCTCACAGCCGATGGTCCAGTCAAGCACATGGGGCTAGATGGCATGCAGTACGTGGCCAACGATTCCCTATTCGACAATGGCTACAATTATCCAGATATGGTGGGTATCAGAACGGTCTACCAGTATTCATAACTGGGTTCAAACTAAGCAGCGAAAATATTTTAACAGCTCGTCTAAATAAATACTGTCTATAGTTTACGCGAGTAGTACACATTTAAATAAAACACTTTAGCGTTTTAAAATGTTTTATTTAAAAGCTCGTCTAATAATATCAATTACTAAAAATCAACATCGTTGGTTCGATCCCCATAGATTATATTGCTAATCAATTTATACCTTTCCCGAATCATGTTGGACTTCATTTAAATATTAAATGGGTGGTAGAAATTCAGTTGGCGACACAAAGGCTTCTGAATGAGAAAACCGCGTTTTTCTAAGTCTTTGTATTTCTAAATGTCCAAAGCCAAACATAGGGCGACAACACATCTTGTTAGATGCTATATGAATGGGGTCATGTCATTCCTTTGCCCACAGAAGATAGAATGTATGAACTATGTTATTATATAATATATGTTATTATCATAGTATTAAAAAGGTCACAGCTATTAAATAGCAACGTATTCTTTCCTAGGCGTGCTATTGTGACGAACCGCGAGACCACAACTGTCTACCAGCAGGCGCACTGAATGTCTCCTCGTGTCGTTTTGGCGCACCAGCCTTCGTTACTAGACCACACTTCTTAGACATGGATCCTTACTATCCCAGCAAGATTCGGGGTCTGGCACCAGATAAGTTAGTGATGGTCATTTACATTTTTAGACTTTGAGAATACTAATGACTCAAGTCACAAAATTGCAATTAGGCTACTCTGCCTCTAGCGGTTTTATATAAGAATTCTTTAAGTAGAATGTTTACATAGTAAGATCTTATAAGTTCATTATCTTATTCCTTCATTGCTGTAATGAATAGCGTCAGTTAATTACATCAAATAACAATTACATAAAAATACTAAATACGAACAGGAAAAATTGATTTACAATGAAACAATGCAAAAACAACGATTATTAAAGTTGTTATTCAAACGATATCACTATTAATCAAACTCACTGGTAATTGCATACACAGGTAAAAATAACTTGAAGAGAAAAAAAAACACTCCATTACAATATTTGAATAAAGACCTAATATGGGGTTAAGTTTGAATGATCGAATTAATTTGGCATGCAGGTGAAAGAAACAAACACTCTATTTGTTTAATGTCAAACCCAGTCCCTTGGAAGACGTATAAACACGTTGACAACAACTAAGGTTCAATAAAGAAAACTTAAAAAGTTCTTACTCCTAAAACTAGGATATTTATTTCCGGTGTTGCCATGTACAAAACGGGAATACATCGTCTGTAACCTTCACCCTAAAATGTTATCGAAAGTTGCCATATACAATAGCTTATCTATACGTATCAGACTAATATCAGTATTTTATTATCTGTATATTACATTTATAGCGATATGACAAACATTTTTGTTCTGGAAGGTCGATTTGGTTCGGGTGTTGTAGTATCTAAAAGGAACCTCAGCGTTATCTAAAATAGGATAAAATTGTCGACAGTACAAAAAAGCGAATCTCGTTTCACTATGTAGGGTGATAGAATATCTTGGTCGACCTCACTGACCGATTTTATTGACAGACTAGTAGTTGATCAGATTTCTGTGCCCCACCCTCCTAAAATCACAAGAAGAATTCTATTTATATTTACTTACTTTTTTTAAGTACAATATATTATACTATTTGACGCATATTTGACCTATGAAAAATTTACATGCCACATAAAAAGTGTATGTTTCAATCATAGTGTCTATAAAAAAGCCAATTAAAATGCGCTTACAAGCAGACACTTTTGTTAAAAAGACGCGACGGAAGCTGTAATCAAATATACTACTTTTAACATCGGTAAAAGAAAACTTAAAATGTCCGCTACGACGACCGCCACCGACAACTGCCGCCACACTTGATACATTGTATCCCTAAATGTGATTACATATTGTTTTTTTATGTTTGATAATTTAAAACAATATGTATACACAAATAATTGCACTTCAGCCGTCTGCACGCAGGACATTCCTATATAATAAGATCTAATAACAGCGTAAGGTTTTTTTACTACTTACCTAGACTGCGTATTTTTTATAATTTCAGAAAATACAACTTCAAAATGGCGATAGAGATGAACACAGGAATGCCACTCGCCATATCAGCGCAGTTGCAAGCTAACGCATTAGTTAGGCATATCCCGGGTATGAGGTATGTACGCAGTCGAATAAAGTTACAACAATTTAATTAATAGAAACGAGATCCAAAAATAGTGGAAACCTATAAGCGGGATCTTTTAAATTTAACTGTAAAAGGTCTAAGAGTTAAACAGTAAATAAACACGATCGATAGAAGAAGCGAACCAAATGTGTAACATAACTAACCTTAGAAATTATAATGTATGTAATTTTGATGTTTTATTTTAAATTTCCTTTAAAATTCGGGTATATTTGTTACGTCTTGAAAATCTCTGAGGAAGAGAAGTACGATAATAGAAATCTTCAAGTGCTTAGTCATATAGTATTTCGCTTTTACAGATAATACACGAAAAAGATAAAAATCTATTTTAGGTTGAAAAATTTTAGGACTTGTCGTTGTGGTATCCACGGCGTTCCGTGCTGTTACTCTAACCAATTGTGCTAGGGTTACAAGTCATCGTCGAAATTTTTCAACCTACATATTTACGTGCACCTCTCACATAATATGTGCAATACGTGTCAAACATGATAAAATTAATAGGCTATTAAAATATCTTTATTAATGCTTAAAAAACAGATTATTCACGGTCAAATGGACGATTTTAAACAAATCAGTATTTAACTACTTACAATTAAAATAAACACTAAAATTTTACCTCAAAGAGTGCCGACGTCTTTGATCTTCCTTTATCCTTTATTGTTTAGGTAACCTATTCCAACAGTGGCTTCAAATCTACACCGCTATCGGTCACCCTGTATATAGGTCAAAAATCTCTCAAATATAATTGAAAAAGATCAAATGCTATATATAACATGCCCTTGTCTGTTTGTTGAAGATCCGCGTTGAAAAAATATTTTTATACAAAATATCATATTAATAAAACTACTAAAAACTATACTACTCGTGGAGTGAGGATCTTCACATCCGACGTACCTACTTGGTGTTTTTTACAATCTCGGAAATAGTGTCCTAATCTAAAGATTAGTTTGTTCCAAAATATAAGAGTAAAGTGGAAATATTTTGCATATACTCGTACATTATTACTATAAACGGGTCATATACCGTACCCATATGTTCAAAGTCAAGTAAGGATTTACACAAATAGTATTTACTATGATTAATCCATCATATCTATACAAAGCTGAAGAGTTTCTTTGTTTGAACGCGCTAATCTCAGAAACTATAGGTTCAAATTGAAAATTGTATAATCTAGAAGGCTATAAAACATCGACCTGTGACTAATAGGAGCGAAGTTACGGCGAGAAATGTGACAAAAAATTGGAAAAAATATTTATTATTATAGGTTTCCGAGGCGTACACTGCAAAAACGGTTCAATAAACCTAAAAAATATGTGTTGAAGAATGATTCCTCTTTAAATCATTTAAAAAAACGTCCGCGACGCTACGTCATCTTTTAAGATTATGACGACGCAACCGACGTCGTGGTTTTAAGTTTATAAAATTTGCAAAAACGAATTTGGATGCCGAAAATAAATATTCTTATCGACGTCGAAGTCGCTGAAATAGCTAGTTATCTTTATATATATCATATTATCTTTTGTTTTCTAATATTGAGAACAAAGGAAATGTGCCGAACTAGGAAGTTGATACAATTTTGCTGTAAAATAAGATATAGCATCGTAAAACATATCTTAATACTTAATAATTATGTACACATGCTATTTAAGCGCAAAAACAGAAAACATTTTGCTTCAATTGGAGTTTAAGAAAAACACTTTTAACGGTTTAAAATGCGAATTTTGTAAGTTAACTTTAATTAAAGTAAACAACGGCATTAACATATTTTTAATTTAGTTTAACAACAACCCCCCGGTTTATACAGTTACAAGTGTTTTATTTTAATGTGTACTACTAGCGTATAAACTACAGACCATACTTAGAGATTAAAATATTTTATTCAGATTAAAAATTCCTAGCGGATAATATCGTCTTCAAAATGTTTCACTTGTCCTATGAATATTTTTCCAGCCTCAATAACCAGCTGCCAGACCCCGACGTTTTGGTGCCCATGTTCTGGTTCAGGGAGGAAATTGTGGTGAACGAGAAGTACGCAAATTTCGCCAAGACTGCGCTTAGAATCAAGTTCGACACACCCTTCGCGTTCTATACGCTAACCGTTAGTCAAGTTCACTTATTAACTTTACATCAGTTCTCTTCTCATATTTACTAATATATAAAGCTGAAGAGCTGGTTTGTTTGAACGCGCTATTCCCAGGAACTACTGGTAAACTAGTGGTACTGGGAATAAAACATTCTCCTTGTGTTGGTTAGAGCATTTATCGAGAGAGGCTATAAAATAAAATCTTGCGCTGCGACGAATAGGAGCGAAAAGGCAGTAGGATGTCTAATCAAAACGGGAAAATTATTAATCCGTTAAGGGTGTCCGTTTCGTGCACTGTAAAATCGGTTTAAGATACCCAAAAAGTATGTATGAAGGAATGATTCCACTTTAAATTATCTAAAAAAATGTCTGCGACACTATATGTCTATCTGTTGAGATTAACTTGCAAGAACGACGGAAAGGGACGCGACCGACATCGTGGGTGACGGCTTAAATTTATAAAGATGAAGACGTTTACAGGAACCAAATTTGATGCCTAAAATATCTAATCTACGCGCACGAAGTCGTTGACACAGCTAGTATTCTAATAAAGCAAAAATTGCGTGGACATTCCAAACTCGTCTCAACATCAATAATATTTTTTTCAGGCGATCGGCTGCGCATTATTAGCGTGGGGCCTGTGGAGTTACAGACAAAACCGGAATCTTGTTAGAAGTAAGCAACACCACAATCAAGATACTTCACTGATGCAGTCGTTTTTGAAAAAGGGGGAGTCTAGCTAACGATGCCTTAGCGAGCAATAGTTAAGGACCTTATTTGTACTGTTATAGCTAGTAACGGCCAGTTTCTCGTGTGAATATTTAAAATCTTTCATATAAGAAATCGGCCGTATGTTTGTTGCATGGTATAGTGTCTAAGAGTCGTGCTGCGCTCGAAAATGAATGTGGAAATGCATAAGTTGCTTGTAGAAAAAGCATAAAATGATATGGCAAAACTTAAAGTTAGCAACCATCTGTCTTAGTCCATAATTAGTAGTAAATTGTAAATACCTTTGAATTAGCATACGTCCGATAATATTAACTAGACATAAGTTATTTTACGAGCACCTATAAGAAGAACATAGAATACAATCAATGTGGCGTCACTATCGACGACCAATCATAGCCTAAACTCAGTTTATCTGGATGATGTCACATATCGTATCAGGCCTTTCGACATCCAAGTTCGTAATCTACTCACCAAAATCAATACTCACCATGTCGGGTTGACCAATTTCGACAAGCTCTTGAAATGAATGTGATCTTTTCTAGTAATAAACAAGCATAACTATACGACTATTTAGTTTAACGACTGAACAAAAATAAACACCGACTGCCATAGACATTATTGAAGAGCACAACGAATATCCAAGTAAATTATACGTGTATCTATGTTACTACGTAAAATTATAATTATTGGTTACTGGTTAAAAGCCAGTCAAGATGTATAAATCAAATTACATACACATAAATCTATATAAATCGCTATTATAGGCCAGTGACGTCACCAATATTTTTAACAATCACATCCAACACACGCTAGAACCTTTTTTTTCTAATTCTGTTACACTTATATTTGAAGAAAACTTACAGTTTGCTAAATATCGAATGTAAAGTATATCTGTCTTCGTGGCCATGGTATGATTTGATTATTGTCAAAGTCAAATACAAAAAAGGAGCGGCCTTTAAAGATTACATACATTTATAGTTTAGATACACAAAAAGGCAGGTTAACTTAAATGCACTGTGAAAAATAATTGAAGTAGAGGTAATGATAAAAATGTTGCGGGTCTTAAATGTATAACTATTTTTGCGTATATTATACTCCTCGAATAAATCAATTATTGACAAGACTTGATTTATGTATGTCGAACTTAAATCTAGTTTTATATATAGTCTTATTTAGGTACGTAGTTTAATTATTTTTACAGTTCATATTTATTGTAAATAACTCGTAAAATAAGTGTTATAAATAGAGGCGTTTTTCAGTCAGTTTTATATTAAATCAATGTAATTTTGTCATTTTTGCAATATAATCTGTGGTTATTATGTAATGCTGTTAACACTTGTAACACTCGAAATGACTTAGACTTACAAATGTACTTTATATTCAGTTTTTTTTTTATGTATATGGAAGGAAATAATGCAATCATAAATATGTATAAGCGACGGAAAAAAATTGTAGTAAACAACCTCATTAATGTATCTAAATTGTTAAGGAAAATTTCCATTCTAAAAATGTTCAAATATTTTGCGGGTTGTGACCAGCTTCCAAAATATATGATTAATTTAATGTCATCGGAAACGTGCAAAATGCGACATTCTTTTATTTACTTATTTACATAGATAACGTCACATTTGCATACAGGATCCGGCACTGTTTTTGTAGATGCCTTTAATGTTTTATGTCTTTTATTATATACTGGATGTCTCTGGAAATTAGCTCTTTGCCTACAAAAACTTAGCAAAACTTAAATGTAAAATTTTAGATGGCAAACATTTGACTACGCGAGCATTAATTAAACCGGCATCCACAATGTTTCCTGTTATTGCTATAAAAAATTGAGTTAAATGTATTCAACCCATTGATTGCACTACTCTCGCAAAACTCAACCTAAACCCAAACATAAAATAAACAAACCATCTCGACTCAAAAAACATAAGTCTGTTCTTAATAACAGTAAATAAGAAACATTTCCAACAACTTTATTAAAACCACTATAATATCATTTTTATTTGAATAGCTATTAATCTAAAATGATTAAATGTAAAGTATGGTACAAAAATATACTATGATTGTATTTATTTTAAGATGCAACAAATAAACTATTAAATATATTTAACTTCGAAAAGAACGACCGCCTTAACATTCTCCACGGAATACATTTTTCTGTATCGTCTTAAAAGTATATAATAATTAATTAAAAGTATACATAGTAAGTCTGACGTCACTTTCTTTCTTTATATAGAGAGGATTTTATTAAAAATCAGTTAAGATATAAAATATCTTTCTTTGCTGCATCGTAAAATATATATAAAAAGGCACATGGAATGATTATTATACATAACATTGATTTATACTAGTATACGCTTAAAAACTAGTAAAAAATAAAATCATAAGATTTTTTTTATGATAGAGAAGGGGCATCGGGTTGGTTCACTTGATAGAAGATGAAATACCCCACCATATAACATCTGAACAAACTGCACTGTAAACTTATTTCGCTGTAATTATTCTAATTCAACTCTGAAAATACGTAAAATGTGTAAATTAAAAGATACGATATATTTTAAACAAATTTCGGAAGTATCATCACACTAAGTGAAATAGAGAAACAAAATCCGCAAAGAAACATTACTATGTTCAATTTAACAAGACGGATGCAAACAACGCCATCTTTTGGTGAATAGTACATACACGCAAAAATAAGAATATTTATATGTAATTAACGTGTCCTGTTACTACATAATATGGTTCTTAACCGTAAATTTTCAATTACATTTATTTAGTTAGACATACGTCTAAATATAATGAGAAAAATGGTCACCGAGTTGTAAACATCTACCATTTCTAAGCTATGCTATAAAGCAAATTATATTCAATATCACAATCTTTGCTATGTCCAAAAATTCGGTAACAAGTATTTTATTTTTAACGATAACTAATTCAACGGTAAAACATTCTTACAGCAGTAAGTGGCTTTCTCGAAATATATGTCATTGATTAAAGATCCTCCAGGATATACTTGCACGTGCGCTAAATTGCGTTGGTAAACCATGAAAAATATTCATGCATAATAAAAACTTTAAATGCATATTAGACTATAAATTAAAAATCAATCATAAATTGAAAAAAATTACGACACGGGCAGGTCTTGAAACGGCATCCAACGTTCCGTGCTGTTACTCAAACCACTTGAGCTGCCGTGTCCTCCGCGTCATCGTCGAATTTTTCAACCCATTGATACATTTTTCAATTTATAATCGGTTTTTAATTAATATAGTGCCATCATGTGCAAATGTCTAATATGTGTTAATGTAAAAAAAAAACTTGTTTCGTCTATGCTAGCAGCATGGTGGATAAAACACTATACATGAAAAAATTATATATGAAATAATTCGATGTTTTACCGTTATTTAAAAAAAATTCTATACCTTATAAAGACTACCGACTAGCGTTTGACAAGTCTTCTTGTGATGCTCCCGACAGAATCGGTGTAGTATCGGGTGACCTCATTAATTTCTGCACCAATATCCATATACCCACAACTAATAATATTACGCCGATAACCTGGAATGAGGTAAGAGAAGAAAAAAGTAAGTAATGTAGCACTGGAATGCCTTTACAACAAGGAATCCTCCATAACAAAGTTATGTTAACATCTATGTTCCAATCAGCAATTGTGACAAATTCCAGCCCTCTATAGCATCCCTTGCAAAAGTACAGTAGTCTCTTCCGTTCTTTCGTTTCATGCTTATTTATACGTGATAAAAAAAATAGGTTACCATAGGGTAAGTAAATGGCTCACCGGTGAGGGGCACGATGAGACGCACATTTTTTATGATGGAAAAGGGAGAGCGGTTCACTAGACTGATTATTTGAACAAAACGGAATCAACAACACACTCTAAATTATCATTTGCGCCGGACTGCATCAGTCCCGGGGCGCGACATTTTAGTTTGGTAGTTGTATAGTTATATAATGTAACGAGTGATCTGTGGCATAAATAAGCCGCTGAGCGGTTTTCATGTATAGTTTCGGAAAAATTATAAATTGATTAGAAAAATGTTGGACTCGGTTGGGGACCGAACCCACGACACATTGATTATTAGCCACATATTGCTACCATTATACAACCGTCAAACATTAATTAAAAATAAATTCGGAAAGGATATCTTGGAGAGAGACATCTAGCGGTGAGATTTTGCACTAAATTCAGTTCTCAAAGAATACTTACAGTGACGGCGTAGAAAGCAACGGGCAAGTACTGTCGTAGGTTAAGCGCGAAACGGGCAAGACGCGCGTAGTCTTCGCTCATGTTCACTTCTTGCCTGAACCAGAACATCGGCACCAGCGTATCGGGATCGGGCAGCTTATTGTTGATTCTGAAAGGATATGGAGAATACAATAAGTAGCCCCAAATTAGGTGCTAAAAGATATATGAAGTAGCAAGGAAATAATACTTAAGCCGGTTTATGAGAGCAAGAATATTTTTTTATTACTTTTTAAATGGTTAAGTTGCTTTTATATTAGTCACAAATTAAAAAAAACTATGTTCGTTTGAAAAAATATAATGACACGGGTGGGTATTTTTTTTTCAATAATTCATTTTTTTTTCAAAAAATAAATTTCAATAACATGTGAAAAATATATATAAAGTTTTAAATCAGAAATTAGATTTAAAATATTTTCTTTTATGTCAACATTTCAAAAGAAACCTCATTTTAACGGTTAACTAATATACGTTTATCATAAGCATAATACTAAATAGTATTTGTACAAAATGAATTAATGAAATCAATGAATAAATCAGTTCTTAATTAAAATATTTCTTTATCCTATATAAGAATTTGATCTTGCTTGTAATTTTAATTAAAAACACAAGTGTTTCACCACATGAATCACACCTCATTAATTGAATATGCGTCTTACGTGATTCCGCCAATATGCCTGACGAGCAAATTAATCTGTAACTGGGCTGACACGGTTAGAGGCATCCCCGTGTACATCTCTAGCGCCAGACGGAAGTTCATATCCCTAAAAATAAAATACGCTAATATTTAAAAAAAGAAAACCAAATAGAAGAAGCTCACATCACTCTTATTGTGGAAGAAACGTCGCAATCCCGAATTAAAATATAATCATTATGAAATGTGTCATGTGGAAAAAAAAATTAATGCCAAACATCTAAGCACTTTTGCAATTATATACTATAAAACTGTTTAACCCTTAGGCCCATTGCATGTGGCGTTTTTTAAACGTGCAGGAAACGCGCTGGAGACTCGTGTATACGTGAGGTATTGTGTTTTAATTAGATACAATGGCGTGGGTTGAGACAACACCGCTTACGTGGGCGTTAGTACTTTTTTTGAAAGGAAGTAAACCTTCAAAAAAAGTAAATCTATTGGATAGACGCGTGCGTTTTGTATCATTAATACAAACGCAACAATCAAAGAATACGCTGCTGAAAACGCGCGTTTTCTGAACTTTTGAAAAACGGTGTATATATTACTTTTTAGTGAGCAGAGGCTTGGAACCCTTACTCCCTTAACCACGACAATACAGCAATGAGACAACATGATGATGGGCTACTAAACTAACCAATGAGTTCTGATTTAGCGTATCTATATCTACGTCATTTAGTGTTCGCTAAAATGAAACGTACTCTGTGGGATTAAGGCCGCTTATCTTGCTGGGGTAGTGGTCGTCCATATAGAGGAAGTGAGGCCTCGTCACAATGGCCGGAGCGCCAAAACGACAAGAAGACACGTTCAAAGCACCCGCAGCGAGGCAATTCTCATCGCGGACCTCGTCGCAATAACACGCCTGGAAATGTAAGAAAATCGTGTATATTATTATATCCGATTAAAATATTTTTTTAACAGTTTAAAACCGCGAAATTAAACTTATTTACACATTTTAACTACGGCCCGACGTTTCGGATGCTTTGCAGCAGCCATGGTCATGAGGCGACTATCCAGGGAAAACGTCGAGCCGTAGTTAAAATAACTAATTAATTTAGCATTTTAAACAAGAGTTTTAATTAAATATGTACGAATGTACTGAAGATTAGACTAACGAGGTACCTGCAAGTACATTTTCTGAAAATATACCTGGTGGTAAAAGAATTGTTATATTTTGTATAACAGGATTATGTATGTATAAAAAAAGATTTACTCACCATTCTGGGATACCTGTACCCGTTATCGAACATGGAATCGTTGGCGACGTACATGACTCCTTCTATACCCAACACTGTTATAGAATCGTTCTTCGCTAGACTCATGTATCTGTGGGATTCAAATAAAAATGTTTATCAAGCCTGGCCATATTTCTTTCCCGTTCTAATAATCATTTTGTTGTCAGAATTCTTCTCACAATATAAGGAATAATCGAATAGACAATCTGAGTTATCATTGTAAAAAGAAGAAACCCCAAAAATAAAGCACTTTGTGTCCAATAAAATTGCTATTTGGGTGCCCAGGGAAGATTTTTTTTTGAGAAGACTACATTTTATTCGCAAACCTTCTTGTTTGATCCTGCGGTGGGACAAACCAGACAGGGGTGTAAAGTGATCAGGCAAAAAAACTCGCCGCCACTTTCTTTAACTAAAATCTAATTTGCTATTCAGTGTATGTGCGCTTAGGAATACAGTAAATTTCATATAACGTAATTGTCTGTAGTAGACTATTAAGTACCACTCATCATGAAGTGCTAATCATGTCGATTTAGGGCAATTTAAAGTGTTTGTGTTCCGCTTTCTATTATCACATTATTAGCCAAGTATAATTTATAGGCAAGTCTGATAGAAAGATCAAATTACTGTACCGTACGCGACCAAAAAAACTTAAGGGTTATAGGGATTTCAACCAGTACTCACGTGCAAATATCTGGCGCAAAGATAGTAACCTCCGGCTGTCCCAGCTCTGGCGCCCACAGCTCACCCGTGGAGCCCCGGACTTCGCCACACTCGTCCCTGTAGTGTGTCCTGTTCGAGTTCTTCCACATCTCCACGTTGCCTAGTTGAGAGAACTCGTCCGCGCCGGTGTTCATAACGAAAATGCCGTCGAACTCCCTTGACCCGTTGCGCTAAAAAGACGTGACGTTTGAGGTCAGCTGAGTAGGAAAAGGCGAAAGGAACGCGTTTGGGTTAAAATAAATCTTCAGAAATTACATTTACTGTAAATTATATTCGAAGCAGTAGTTTCCCAGTTCAAGTACTTTAGTAGCACGCAGTTTATATACCAATATCTTATAAAAAACGAAAAGAAAACACGTAAAACAACAAGAAAGTAAATTTATTTGCAAACTAGGCTTTAGTTCGTCAATAAATCGCCATAGGTATTTTGATTGTTTTCAACATGTAAATATTAGTATATAATAAACAATTGTATATTAGTGTCGGAATTATGTGAAGCGTGCGTCGATAAAATGGTTGCGCTTGCGCGGGATTACGTCACTATTACGAAGCCAATACTTTCGCCGCTTATACAACGCTTTGTCGTACTAAACGTACACCTATTTGGTTAAGTGTTTACAGTAGTGGCATGCAAAATCTTTTAATCGTAAGCTTGTCAGTAATAAATCTTATACAACTGAAATATGTTAGTCTTAGTCACGCTCTACACTGGAGAAACTGAAAAACTGTGTAGGCCCACTCTCCATAGCATACTGTCACAAATGAATACCAAAACTATATAGTATCTTTACAAAACAGTACGTAAGAAATACAATAATGAATAAATAAGAGTTTTAGGAAACTGCCCTTCTCTTAATAAGTAGCCGTAAATTGGAAGAGAGCAGAAGATACTTCTGTCAAGTTTAGAAGGATTTATGATATGTTTTTAACTATTCTAGTTTTAAAATGACTAAAAATTAACTACTAACCCTAAATTACGATACTTAAATATGATTGACGTTATAGATAAACATTCATAAAATACAATGGGGAAATAAAACGGAACGGAAATTACAATACATCTATTTTACTTATACATATTAAAAATGGCAATTGCATCATAATCTTTGGATATAAGTGTGATATTTTTGACAGACACAGTTTAAAAACGTATTTCTGTTGTGCTTTTTTTTACATTTCATGAAACAACATTTCTTCTCTTAGACAAGGCACATGTTACTGTCGAATTTGATTGTGTGTGACAACTAGGTAAGAAACGAAATTATGTAAAATTCGACCAAAACACCAGGAATAGCTTCAAGTTCTAATATACCATCATGAACTCTTAGATATTATGTCGCAAAGTTGGAGAAGTCATCTTTTTTTAAAAATAAGAACATCAGCCAGGTACAAGGGGTATGCCCTGGAAACGACGTTTTTCACGAATTTTTCTAGGCATTATGGATCTGCCATCGTAAAATTTACGACGATTTAATAGTTAAGTAAATGATATTGTCAGTAACACAAATTTTACTATGAGTATAGTTTTATTTCTGATAGCGTGTTCTAAATTTACTTCTCTGATAAGAACATCTGATTTTAGCAAATCTCGGCTAACTATTTAGTTAATACTGGCTTCAACTAATGTGAGACGAAGAGACATGAGAAGATGTAAGTATTTAGCAAAAGTACTTGTAAATAAAAAAAGACGACAATTTTATATTAGTATCCTTTAATACATTATGGAGATAAGAGGAACACACTCATGCGCAAATGACAGACACAGATTAAGTAATAAAATAAAAAGGATTTTCTCCTCGATCGGTCAACGAACCTGCTTTATAAAAATAATCAAGATGGCGTCTTATCGTTATTGATATTTGATACTGCAAACGTGCAATGTAAATATAAAACCAATAAAAGTATTTTTTATTGAAATATGTACTTAATCCTTTAAATAAAATGCTATTAACTGTTTTTAACGCGGAAAACATTTACTAACTAATGTTTAACTAAGTTTTAAAGTGTTTTAGTTTTAATGTGTCGCGCAAAAAAGAAAGACTTTAGTCTTTATACAGCGATTCGTTAAATAATTCAACAAAAATATAGAGAGCAATATGGCAATAACTTTAATTAAACATACTTACTTACAACTTAGAATTTTAATCGTAAAGCTAAATACGGACCATAACATGCATAGTATGTAAATGCTAAAAGCTGGTCCCATTTTTTGCTATCAGTATTCAATTTTGACCTTAGAATTAATCAGCAATCAACGACGTTGTGTTGAGGGAATGAGGTCTGAATTGTATTTAAATTATTAATATAAACACAATATTTTTAATCCTAAGGTATTCATTATTTCTTAATATAAATAAAATATTTTGATGTTTGGTAATAAAAAAACTGACCAATCTTGGGTCCGATTACCACCAAGTCCAAAACTGTGTCTCAAAGTTTTGGTTACTATAATAGGTATATCGTTATTACGTCCGTAACACGAACCACTATACAAACATAGGAAAGGAATAAAGGGTAGTCGCGTTTCTTATTAAGTCTGTTCAGAATATCCAAAAGCAACATAGCCTAAACTTAGATAACCGTATCATTAACCGAAGAATTCGGTTTTGTTTAGCCATACAGCGAAACAAGTATGTACATGGAGGTCGTGAAATATTATGAAAGTCAAACAATTATGCATTTTTTATCAAAACTATAAATACAGTGGCTCACAAGCGTATAATGAATCATACCAAAGTATACATTAACAATAATTATCTGTAAACAACCGACTGAATCAGCAGGTCAAAGTTCCGATTTATTGTGTATGTATTTTTGCTTAGAACGAGAATGCGATAAGTGTATTTGTTAAAAAAAATTGTAACGAGTGAGGTGGACTCTGTACGAATGGGTGCGTACCAAGTCCGTGTCTCAAGTTCATTCGTTCATCTCGTTTAGTAGTACGTTCTTTACGTACGTGTACGAGTACGAGTACAGTGTCTTTAGATTAGTTCCTGAGTATCCTTATTACCAAGTTATAGATATCTATCAAAAATAAGAAATAAGAATACTTTTTGATCATAATTTTATTAATAAAAGATTTTTGTAAGGTTATTTTTAATTGTAACTTTATTTTATTTTGTTATGGTTTTTCAATAACTATGAAAATTGAAAGAATAGTGTGTTACGTTCTATACGTCGCTCGTGACTTTAAAATTAATATCAATACTTTTATATATTTGAAAACATTATTATATTTTTCACATGGTGGCAAGTTTTTTTATACTTATATCGATTGTAAAATAATCACGAAAATTCCTACTATGGCTGTTAATTAAACAGGCTTCAAACATAAAGTTTGAGGTTTGAACCCTTGATAATTTGCCAGAACATTGTTTCCTTGGCAGATCAAGAAAACATGGTGAAACCGCGAAGTCCTAAAAATATAATTAACGACATGCTAACATGTAGCTACTCTTATAAAAGAGGTCCGATGTAACAAACCTTTACAGGTTTCGAAATTATAATATCAAGTTGTTTCTAATCGAGTGGAGGATTGACACTTACGGTTTTATCAAAGATAGTTATGTATCGTTAGGAAGGCGTCCACTGTTAACATGTGAGATAAGAACAATAGTGCTAACACGACTATAATCACTTGTCTGTCCCCCTCTGTCATAAAAATTGCGTACAACGTAATAATTCGGGAATTTATGACAATTGCTTGAATGTGAATGATGCTGATTGTTTGCATTTCCGCTTATTCGTCAAATGTATGTGTATGTATGTCATACGTGATAATTCGTGTAAATACAAGTGGAATGTAGAAAACAATATACGTAACATATAGGTAACCGGCTAACGATGTTTTCTTATATAAATTACTAGCCAAAACTATATGTTAAGCCGCTAGAGGCAGAGTAGCCTAACTGCAATTTTATGACTTGATTTATTTATAGTCTAAAAATGAAAATCTACAAGAGCACAGGGACCGAAAATTGTTAACATAGTTCTTCCACAAATAAGAACACTCATTCATTTTCGCCTAAGTTAATTGTGCATTTTTATTTTCCTCTTCATTGAAAATCGCGTTTTCTTTAATTAAGCCACTCTGCCTCTAGCAGCCTCATAGAGATTAATATTAAACCAATTTTTATATGTATTATCAATCTTTTGTACCGTACAGGTCATAAAGTAACGAAAGACTATTCTTAGATTACTTAATTTGAGGCATCATTAGTAAATTAATTCTCACCTGGTAAAACCAGCCGAACTTATCGTAGGGTATCGTGATCGGCAGCTCCGGGAAGTGCTCGGCTATCGTCAGGATGGGGTCGTCTATGCCGTCAAAGAGCCAGTCGGACACCGGCGCAGTGGTGAACATGTTCTTGTGGAGCGTTTTCATGAACACGTCAACTGTCACTCGTAGAACTGGATTCGAGTGGCGCATGAAGTAAGCGATTGTCTGGGGACGAATTTTGCACAAATGTAAATTGTTTGAGGTACACTCAATGGAATAATAATTGTTAAAATATATTTCACTTCAATTCGTTAGTTACGCAAAGTAAACAGTTTGTTTCGGAGACATTTATTAATTTCCAGCTGTAAAAAACAAATTCATCAAAAAATATTCTATAACTGGGATAATACATTTTTATAAGTAGCTCAACTCTTATAAGCACCGGCGTAGCATATACATACATAATTAAACTGTACTTCTAAAAAAAATTGTTGATAAAAAACACTGAAGGAGGCCGCAAATTTGTCAGCAATGTACTGCAGTTTTAAACACTATGTTAGGTAAACTATTATTTATAAAAATTGTTTATAATTTTATTTTTTATTCTACTATTACAGAACAAATTCCATTGCGATAAAATTATTACATACATATTTCATAGAGTGACGTTTTAGTTAATTCATCAAACGGACTAAAAGTGCGATGGGTCGCTAACAAATTTTGCGAGACGAGAGACTTACCGCAACTATCGGATTGATGCTCGTAATGGAATCGGATAGAGAGCCGTTGGACATATCCGGCTCGAAGTGCCAATACCTCTGGTTGTAGAATGTGACCGTGTTGTTGTTGTTCCATGTTAAATTCACCTGATAAATGAAAATCATATCGGAATCTGTGAACGTTTCTGCAAACTTCATTTTGCCGAGTCAACAAATTAAGTTGGCATTTTTGGTTAACGCACAATTTACAAGAATTGATTTACAGAAAAACACTTGGAGACACTGAATTATACATTAAACTAATGAAGGGTGTTTTTACTAAATGAACTTGAGGTAGAAGTTCATTTAGTAAAAACACTTCGATGCTAAAATAATTTAAAATCCTAAAAATTAACTTAAGTAAAAGGACGGATTAAAATTTCTTTAGTTTGACATTTACATAAGGATGGATATAAGCAAAATAAATGACAATAGAAAATAGATAGAAGTCTCACTCATGCACGATCGCTGAAATACATCCATACATTGATAGACATCGAGTTGAATAATAGTAACATAAAAAAAATTAAAAAAGAAAGGGAATATAGAATCGATATTTATTTATACCTGTGTCATCTGTGGCAACAACTTTACTCTATAAAAAGTAATCTCTCTATGGTCTCAAATCGGCCAAATTTGATGTGGTATTTTGCCAAGTTAGAAAAAACATCCTAATCAACAGATATATAAAATATCTGTCTATATACACCAAGTCGACTACAAGTGATCAGTTTGACAAATTTGTATAATACTAGCTGTGCCAGCGACTTCGTCTGCATAGAATAGTTGTTTTGGGCATCCAAATTTGTTTCGAAAACCTCTATATCTTTATAAATTTAAGTTGCCAACGACAACGGTCGCGTGCCGTCGCTAGCGACCCGTCGTTCGGGTCCCGTCATTCTTGCTAGTTAATCTTAAAAGATAGACCATTTAAAGAGAAATCATTCTTCTTTCATACATATTTTTATAACCGTTTTCGCAGCGTATGCATCTGAATCCTACAGATATTAATAATTTCCCCCGTTTTGTTCACATTTCCCGCTGTATCTTCTTTTCTATTAGTCACAGCGCGATGCTTTAATAATTATGTTGCATTCAAACAAACAAACAAACTCTTCAGCGTTATATATTAGTATAGATTCAGGTAGGTGTTTCTACATTCTGTCTTGACTGTCGCGCACGTGCCGTCATGTAATCTTAAGGTATTAAATAATTTCTATCGATAAGTTTTCCTTATCCTTTTGTGCCATCTACGATTGATAATTCGTTATAATTATGTGTGACCCCTCAGTAGCTCAGTAGATTAAGCAGATTTTTTATTTATTTCTTTCCAGCGGACTACAGTTTGTTAGCTAGATAGTCTTCACACGATTGTACATGGCATCGACTTGGAAGCTTCAAGAGCTGGATGCTCATCCAAGAGAGGGAAACGAAGAACAGGGGGGCACGCCTTTTCGGAGAAGGCGAAGCGCTATACGGCTTTAATTTCGTCGTTGCCGGACTCGTTTAGAACATATCGCGGCATCCTCCGGCTGGGGTTGTCAGACGCGAATCTAATCTTAGATTACCACGATAACGTAAAGTACAGTGTGTCTGTACGTTCGGCGTAACATATCTACCGAAATACAATTTTAAACTCTCTATAGTGTTTAATTATATAAAACTAAAAACGGCGCCTCGTCACACATGGAAATATAACGGTGTCTAACCAAATAATAGTATTTTTAATATTTCATGAATAAAAAGGGCCAAGTGCGATTCTGATTTTTTCTTGTTATTTCAAGTACCTATGTTTTAATTGATATCGAGCAAAAAACGCAAAGAATTGCGTTACCAAGTTTTGAGATAAATAATATTTTTACATAAGGGGTTGTCCATTAATCACGTGAGGCTTGAAAGGTTAGGATAATATTCAGAAAATTTTAAGATTCCTTGTAGGTTACTTGGTAGGTATACTGTCTATAGTAAAACGTCGGGCCGAAGTTAAAAATCATTTTCAAATCAGTTTAACTAATATATCGCGTTTTAAACCGTTAAAGTGTTTTATTTCTTTGTAGGTACTAAAAATACACGTGATGTTGAGAAGGGGGAGGCGGGTGGTCTTAAACCTCACTACGTATCAGCAATGGGGGTGGGGGGGTTTAAAAATTCTAAAAAAAGGTCACGTGATTAATGGACAACCCGTAATTTACATGATTTTTGTTTGCTAGATCTTGGATAGAGATAGATTAGCAGATAGGCAGCGACGTTTAAATCATTGGGTACGGAACCCTACAATATGTAGCAAATTTAAGCATAATCACTGACCTTCGTATGAGATTCCCTGAAGACGTAAGGGCCCAGTTCCTCCAGCTGCACAGTCTTCGCTGTGCCGGCGAGGATCTCGTCGATATTGGTAATGTTGAACATATGGCACTCCAGGTACATGGGAATCGGGATCTCACGCCATATCGAGAAGGAGGTGGACGTTTCTGATAGGATCATCATCTAGAAGAAACCTTGATTTTAGTAACCTAAACTGTGAGAGGTCAAGATTTTCTACCAGTTTAAATACAGTCAACATCTTATGTAATTGTTCTGCCAGATCTAGAAAAGTATTTCAAAAAAGATAGCAACCGAACACATCCGAAGTATATGTCAATAATTAAAATTCGTTTAAATCAAACAGAACGGTTTAAAACGCAAAATTTATTAGTTAGTTAGATATACAATATATTTTAAATGCCTATACCTAGCTTAAAAAAAAATAGATTTTTTAATATAGGTATAGCAATATTAAAAGGTACATAATATATACTCGTTGTTTTAGTATGACTTACGCTTTTCAGTTGGGCGAAGAAAATGCTAGGCCAAAAGACCACCATGACGGCTCCCACCACTACCATCACGGAGCCGCATCCCATCAGCCAACCACTCCTTTTCCCGGCGGACACCATTCTTGCTGTTTACCTATTTCGGAAGGGCAATTTTAGTCGACAGTAGTACTACTAATCATTACTTTAAAAATTACAGAGATGTTTGGTAGCTTGGGCATCTATGCTTATTTCTAGTTCCCGTGCTGGAAACTATGAAAGCGCAGACCGTAGTAAGTATGTATAGTGTTGATACGAAAATATACAGTGTTTCTTTTTGACAGAGAAGGACATACGGAGTAGCACGGGGTTCATAAGCCATCAGTCATCACGCATTTTAGCCTGACTGCCAGACTGAAACCAAAGCACAGGAACATATTTTCCATAAGTGGCCGTCCTACCGCTTCGTGACCCGGACGCAATTCCATCAATTTAGTTCCAGTTTTCAGAAAAGCTTCAGTGTAACCACCTGTGATTATTAGTCATATTTCAGTCAATTTTAATAAATCAGTCACATTGTTACCATTATACGAACAAAGTCATCGCTTTTCTGGTGTGTACGCAATAGTCATAATATAGTATCAAATTAGGTATTTTTCATCAAATAAACGTTTACTAATTGTTACAAAATAATGTGACCATGACTCAGTAAAGGCAATTTTGAAGCAAACGATCCGTAACAAGTGAGTAATAGTGGAAAAACTGTTTTTTCTTTAAATTTATAAGTAATTACTCATTCCCATACTTTAAGACTAAACTGCTAACCTTGCTTACCAGTCACAAATATAAACTAAAGAGGATGTACCTACGTATTATCTTCTTTCAGTAACATATGCTAGAACGTAGGAGCAACTAAGAATTAGGGAATATTTATCTCGCAAGAATTCCGACTCTTTCACAAAACAAACTATTCTAAATTTAAGCGACATAGCAACATAGACAAGCCGGCGTCCAATGTTGTAGTAGAACCCTTTTTATTAATATTATTAGTAAGTATTAAGTAAAGATTTTTAAGGTGGACGAAAATAAAATATACCAAATATTTATTATAATCATCAGTTTTTGTTAACATATATTATATGCAATACTATTTTAACAATGAAACTCATACTTATATTAACAATAACAATGAATAATTATTGAATAACCGCCTTTGTAGTTAAATAAAAAGCGCATATACAGTGACTACTGTAAAACCAATGGGTACTTACTTGAAAAATATGAAGCAATAATCAGGAAACATACGAGTGATAAGAAATTAAAAATCAGTAGAACTAACCAGCCTCATTATCTGTGCGATACAATTATCTGATAATATTAAAATATGACTGGTGTTACAATCAGAATGGATTTATTGTAATTAGATACAACGCACACTGGGCAATTTTTAACTCATGTGTGTGTGAAGCTGTTAATTATCTTGAACGCCTACACTCTTAGTACAAAACCCTCAAGCCTGACCCTCAAAACTGGTTTAAACCCTGGTTTATTTAAAATCCTTATTACAAAACGAAGTTCAACGTACTGGTCTAAGTATGGTACCAACTTAGATTCATTTAGACCAAGTCTGGGTAGGTCTGGTTTAAGTATTTTTATGTAATAAGGCCGCTAAAGTCCAAAGCTGTCCAAGACCAAATTCTACTACAGACCCCGGAGCGAACACATTTCCGCGGTGGTTTCACTCATAAGTTTAATGTTACTGGCAAATTTAGTTGGTCTTACCTCTAGAACTGCTAGTATCTCTAGTTGCCCTTACGACCTCTCGTACTGAACGTTTAACCATTGAGCTACGAAGGCGGTCTTGTCGTATTTTTATTAGCTTATACAAACAGGTTACTTTTCGCTAAGAGCTTTTGAGTACACCGTGAACAAGGGTTCTCGAAATTATAAGATTTGTAACAAGCCAGAGGATTCTTATATTCTGCAGGAAGGTGTCAGGAATACGATGCCCCAAATCTAAGTGTATTAATTTCTCGAAGTTATCAAAATGTTGAAATCGTGGCGTGTGCGGTGCCTTTAAGATTGATGCGTGTGCGTATGCGTTTTGAATCTGATATCTTAGTAAATCGCAGCTCAAAAACGATTTTTGACGCATAAAACTTATCACGTTCACGTTGCTGCACACATTTTGTAAATGATTATGATGTAATTAATTATTATGGCTTTTTAAGAGGAGGTTAAACAAGCTTGGAGTTGTCTCGAGCACCAAAAGCCCCAAAACATATAATAATTAAGATACCATATTGACTTATTCTCGTCATCGGGAATCCACGGGCTGTACACTTCATAGCGTCTCTATCTATCAATGGTGGTTTTATTGAATATATACGGTTTAATATGTGTTTTTATTCATTTAGTGCAACGGTTTATTTATGATGACTCCTTACCATGTAACTTAATATTTAAAATAAATACTATTATATAACTAATAATTAAAGAATTAAAGATGGAACAAATAGTAAGATTTTGCGAGCAACCGGCAAGGTTTCAAGGGGTCACGGTGAGAGTTGGATAACCCAGAAAACCTCTGCAAGGAGGAAATGGGGAAATGGGTGAAATGGTCAGCTAATGATGTGGACTGATCACCCGGCCTTCTATAGGTGACCCGATAGAAAATAATAATAAAATTATATAACTATAAACTAACTAACTGTTCCTCTTGTAAGCGTTGGATTTAGTAAGCTGAGATAAAATTATTCCAAAACATTTGAACGCGTATGAATATAAGAATATATTTGTATAATATTAAAGACTGACACTGCCAAGCAAGTAAAATACTTTTTATGCGTATACTTCTCTCGTATACGGCATAGGCCAGCTTTAAGAGCTTAAACCGACCACAATCTTCCTGTGCGTGTAGGCGAGCTTGACTAACGCCACTTAATTATTGTTAAATATCGCCTTAACGTGTTCTACGGGACTTTACACCTTTTAATATCAAACCCCGGGCTGGTAATGAATAGTTTCTTAGATTTTTTAAAAATATCGAATTATCATTTCACCCAATCCAAAAAATCGAACCTTGTGATTTATAACCTAGTCCACTATTTATTAGAAAGGAAGAAGTATTTGCCAACTGCTTTAGTCCTACGGGTTGGGTCAAAGAATTCATTATGGACAATATGAAACCATGGACGACAACATCAGAGGATATATCTAATTCTATGAACATACATTTGTTACAGATTACATTATGTAATCCTGTCTTAACAGTTAGTTGTATCCTAAATGCTGGGATTCACTAAGAACAATAGCTTACGAGACTATGCAGCAAATTACAGTGAAGTAAGAAAACATTCAGAGAAATACATGTTTACGTGAACACACTCAATTCCTATCACTAGTATTGCTGACACGGTGGCTGATATATGGAATTTGGCAGCTACCCCACACCTAACACTATGTTTTAATCAGTCAAACAAAAAAAGTAATAGGGCAACGGAGGATTTCAATATCGTATTTTTACAATATTTTACAAGTCCACTAGAGCATCGAGTTACATTAATAATTGCATAAAATTGTTACTAATATTTACTACAGTTTGGAGAATTTAGTAATTTTCTCTTGCTTTGCAGTTTTTAAAAGCTCCTTCAATTCAGACAAATATGCAGCAATCGCATTAAATTGTTACTAACCCTACTAACACACATTAGAATTAATTAATTTTAAGAAATGGATTTATGGTCTGATAAATAAATTATTATTATTATTATTAGCAATTTTCCTCTTAAAAATAAGACTACGCTCCAGAGACTACAATAGTAATAGGATCTATTTTACTTTTTTTATTAGTCCACTTGACGGTATTTACAAAAGATATTATGTTGGATACCTTGGCTGGATTGAAATCCGTTTATTACGTATGTACTTATTAGATCCGAACGCGAATACAGGAAGCGCCATTAAAGAGCTTTCACTGTTGGTACTCAATTCTGCAACGGGAGCGAGAATTTTCAGGATTTATTTTATGGCCTACATGCTAATTGTATATATCTTATCTAGATTAACTCTATCGCAGTATTTGTACACTTCATTACGCGATAAAACCCTAATTGATTGTTCTTTGTATGTATTTATAAAAAAAATCCAATTACACACAGTATTATGCCAAAATGTGCTGATTTATCAGTTTAGGTTTGCAACAACAGCACATCAACAATGTGAATTTTCCTTATAACATCTAAATAAACTCTTTTAATCGTTTAAAACGCGATATCTATACTAATATATAAAGCTGAAGAGTTTGTTTGTTTGTTTGAAAGCCCTAATCTCAGGAACTACTGGTTCGAATTGAATATTCTTTTTGTGTTAGTTAGAACATTTTTGAGGAAGGCGCAAATTATAAAACATCTCGCCGTGACTTATAGGAGCGAAGAAACAGCGGAAGATGAAAGGAAAGGAAAAGTGACAAAAACGGTAAAAATTATTCACATTGCGAGGTTTCCGTTGCGTGTGCTGTGATAACGGTTCAAGAAGCCAAAACAATATTTATGGAAGAATCATTCCTCTTTAATTGATCTAAAAAAGTCCGCGACACTATATGTCTCTTTTAAGATTAACTTGCAAGAAGGACCCGAACGAGGGAGGCGTACGACGGGATACGAATGTAGTGGGGAGTAGTACAGCTATAAGCTACATAAAGATGAGGAAGTTCGCAACAACTAATTTTGACTCACAAAATAAATATTATATTGGACGAAGTCGATGGCACAGCAAGTATTTTATAAGTTTACTAATAATAATAGTTAAAAATGTATATTGAAATGTAAACTACTACCGTAAACAGTTAAACAATGCTTAATTTTATGAACCCCCATGTTCAATTCTTCAGACCCTATTCACAAACAGGTGTCTGACATACACAAATCTAAACATAAAAAGCAAACTCAAACATTACCTTTTTCATAGCTTTTGATTTATAATCTATTTTAGACTGAAGGATTACCATGATGTGTCATAAAAAAATTCCCTCTCATTGTTAATTTAGCAAAATTTTATCTTGTGGTGTGAACCGGTGTGCAAGCTGTAAACTTAACTGGATACCCACAGCCATAATAAAATTAAAAAGAAAAATAATGTCCAAGCAGGGCTTTCCAACTAATTACTGACTATAGTGAATTAACTGATAATGTCAATGACACAGTGAGGAATTATAATCATTTTTGTAAATAATCAGAACATAGATACTAATAAAGCTCTCTTGACATTGAAAAGGTGTGATTATAGTAATACAGGAAATTAAAACAATAAAAAATTTAGTGAGTAATATTAGAACAAAGAAAAAAATTTGTATACTTACTCTACCATTAAACTCATTTACTAGTTATGAGAATCTCTATTACACTAGTTTAGGTGATACCCCATAGCATGACATTATTATAAAAAAAAATTCAATGAACTCCAGGAGATAAATTAGCTAAAGAAAGTAGTTCAAAGCCAGAAAAGTAAAAAGAGACAAGAGAGATGCAAAATTTAAGATCTTCACGTCTATTCAATTTTTCTTCCATGCACTATAAAACACAAATTAAGGAATTTTATCTAAAAATGTACACATGTACACACAAGTAGATAGAGTGAAATGGATGTAATATGGTGGTTATTTTTTAGCCATTGAAATGAAAAACTACATTCAATCAAATGGTCAAACAATGCAACTGATATCATATTAAGAATTAAAAACAGACATAGCTGTACACTCCTTTGTTGTTCTAAGTCTCTTTATATTCGAGTAAATATGCTCTTAAATTTTGATAAAACCTTTTCATAATTTAGGTAGTAAGTCATGTGATAATACTTACTATGTAATTCTAAAAATATGTGTCTATATTCCATAATATTTTAAACTTACTTGCAAATATAGGAGATATGCTTTTGGATCTCACATTGGCTTAATTTGCAGTAATCACAAAACTGTATAGTCTTCACTTGTATGTCTATGCGAATTTTTATTGATAATTTATGTCACTGTTGATAAAAACGTCTGCCTCCCACCAATTTTAAAATTCAACTTAATTCTCATATTGTTTAATGTCTGCTGATTTTAATTACCAGCAATTACAAAACCCAAGTTACAATTTACAACGGAGTCAAATGAAAATAAAACTGACATTGATAGCGTCAATGTCATTTTACTACTCAGCAATGTCAAGCAAAAAGAAAAAATTAATGTAGAATATTTACTCCTGGCAATCCTGGATGTGCGGTACTTCCGACATCCTCGTTAAGCTAACAAACTGTACCGAATAGAATTCGTATTTATTGCAACCTACAACATAATTACAGTAATCGTGCGTTAAAAACAAATAGTACTATAATCAAATAAGAAATTAGTAACATGGGGTTATTTTAATAAAATTTAACTTGCCTACATAATCTTTATTGAATAAATTACAAAATAATCGTAAGTAATATACGTAATTGTGTTCAAATAAACACGGAACAATTTAAAATGAGTAAATTAAAAACAATCTAATTCATACTTTTGAGACCTATCTTCCTGAAGCATAATTTGGTTTAATAATAACGAATGTACATGAAATTGAAGGTTTAGCTGACCTCAGACTATCTTTGGGATGGCGGGAGCCACTAAGACATGTATAAAAATAATTGCAAGCATTTGGTACATTTATACATAAAATGTTTTTTAATACACAGGGTAACAAGTACAAGTTTGAACAGCATTACTCAACGTTAACATTTGCCCATGCAATTTTAAAGCTATACTAAACCTTTACTATTTCTAGCCAGTACTAAACACTTAACTTTAGTAACATATGCTTATTATGCATTGTGATGTGATGTGTGGAACACAACATTGATTTAATTCAGACAAACACATCAGCCCTTTGCTTTCCTTTCCTTATCAGTGTTTGTTCATTACTACAGGCATTGTTTTGTAAGGTGTTATGTTTACAATTATTTCTGTAGTACTTATGAATGTCTGCATACCAATTCTGCAAATTCAAACACACTGGTATGTCATTAAAAAAACGGTATGTCAAGCCTTTTATAAAAAGACCGTGTCATGACTGACAAGCAATCTTAACCAGATGCAGAAGCTAGTCCAGTGTTCCACGATAATATCGTGAATACCATGAAATCTTTTTTGATGTGGTAGATAAAGTTTTTGGAGTCAATTTGTATTCTATTAAGGCGCGCTTCCTTCCGATATGCAGGCAATGTGAATATAGAAATATACCTATACTGTTAGCTGTAAGTTCCTAATGTATAGCAATAAGTCCCGACTCAAGTAACTTTTGAATCTTAGAAGCAATTTCTGGGTTTTTGAGATGGTCTTGCAGCGCATTAGGGTCTTGTTGCATCTGCTCGAGAATACAGCGCATGGCAGGGTCTCGAAGGATTTGCTGCACTTCCGGGTCAGACATCGCCCGTTTTCGAACCTGAGATAATGACACTGATTTAAAACATGTTCTCCTGTATTATTTATCATGCATTTACCTAACTTTATATAATGCCACCATCATTTAAAACCTAAAAGACAGACCATAATATATTGTGAAACTGCTCCCATCAAGGTTTATAATGAATAGAGGTCCCTTTAGACACTTATTATTTCAGTTTCTAAATGTTTCTTTCTGTAAAGCAATAATATAACTTGCCTCCTCAGGATTGGAATTAAGTTGTGTGGAGCAAGCACGGTACCCTTCCAACGCTTCAGCATTACTGGGGTCCAGCTCCAATGCCTTTTGATAAGCGTTCAACGCTTTTGAGTGTTGTTGCATTCCCTGAAATTAAAAAAATGAATAGTTGGTTTGAGGCTCTATATATGTTAAATGGTTTCCACATATGCTAACATAATTGTAATTTTCACATGAAAAAGGAACAAATATTACATACCTGCAAAATTTTCCCCTTTCTAACCCAGCCTTTTATGAATTTAGGGTCCAGCTTACAGCACTGGTCGCAGTCCCTAAGACCTAGATCAAATGCTGCCAGCTTTGTATAACAGGCTGCTCTATTCGAGTACAGCTTAGGATCATCAGGATTACGCTTTATAGCTTCTGTATAGTGCTTCATTGCTGTGCTGTAATCACCTGGAAGATTTAAGTACTTAATACTCTTTTCAGGCTTCATATGTTATGTTTAAGGTCTCCTGTAAGAGAACAAGTGGCATACCACAAACTTACCTTGTTTAAATTTGAATAAATTGTGTTCTTCAAAAACCTTAACTATTTTAAAAATTCAAATGCATGAAATAAAAAAAAATTATATATTCATTTGTAATATATATGAATTACCTTTTTTAAAGAAGTCATTTCCAAGTTCCTTTTCTTGCTCAGCCTTGACTGGGTCAACATATGCTTTCTTCTCTTCTTCCACTATTTTCTTCTCTGCCTCACTGAGCAGTGATTTGATCTCAGGTGTGCGGTGTTCAGACATAGACTTTTCATAGTATGTTTTGGCGAGCTTCCACTGTTCCATCTTTTTATATGCATTACCTGTAATGGCGGTCAACATCCAATATTATACTCATAATTATTTATGCCTCATATTTATATATGTGCCACCTAATAATTATAACCAGTCTCATTGCAGTTTATTGTGTGTACTATCTTACAACTGGTTTACAGAAGTAGGTATGGATTTTCTATGATCATTGAAGAAAATAAACTTGAAAAAGTGAATCTTATGATATGTAGATTAGCCTATTTGTCTATGAATGTTTAGATCAGATAAAAAAGACAAGGATGGGGCTCAACCAAAAATATGTTGTTTTCATTATTATTTATTACTTTATATATAATATATACATAAAGTCACTTACCAATTCTAGTAAAGGCCTTAGCAATTAATTTGAAATCTGCTCTATTCTCTCTGCCTATTTCTATAGCCTTTTCACACTCCTTAATACATTTCTCAAATTCCTTCTGTTCAAAGTAAACAGCGGCTATATTTGTATAGAATGTAATATCGGTGGAATCATGTTCAATAGCTTTACTGTAGTGAATTAAGGCATGTTCAAAGTCTTTTTTCTTATAGCATTCATTGCCTTTGTCTTTCTCTTGTAAAGCTAATTTACGATTTTCGGGCAGGTCATTGTAACTAGGTTTGGGGGGTTCTGCTTTTGGTGGCAGAGTGGTCTTTGGTTCCGGCACTGGTTGATCTACATCCATAGGTGATCCAAGCTCATCATTAAGTATAAGGCTCAACGTAGGCAATACTCGATTGTCTCCCAATGTCTTTGGATCTAGGTCATAAGAGGGTCTTTCTGGATCTATGATGGAACTCAATCTCTAAAAAAATGTAATATTGTTAGTATTTCAAAAAAAAAAAAAGAATATGAAGTGCTGGTATACATTTAGGCATTTGACACAAAAATTTACAGAATGTATTTTAATATAACTGCATGACACAGGTGAAATATCAGGCAATTTATAACATCAGGAACATTACCATTGCCACGGTACGTTGACTTAAGTCGTTTACACTTATGTATTTGTAAATATTGAGTAATTATGATACACCGGAAACTAAGTAAAAAATGGGGAACAGCTTTGTTTTATTCTCAAGGCTTGCTTGTTGTTAGTTAACATAATTTATTTTAACATTTTGCCTTCAAATATAAGACAGAGAAATATAACATATCCTGCTGTTTCTTTGCTCCTATTTTAGTCACAGTGCATTGTATGCAAATGCCCTAACCATTTGCAATATTTTTTCAATTCCAACCCGTAGTTTCTGAGATAAGCACATTCAAAAATACACTCTACAGCTTTATATATACAGATAGATAATAAATAAATAAAATAATTAATCTATTTGATGATCCAAAAAATTTTTCATTTATCAAACCATTTATACGTACTATTGCTAACTAAAATATCAGTTGCTAGTTACCAATGCGTAACAAATAACTTGCAAAATAAGAGATATTAGGTTTTATCACTTACTTGAACCAACTTTACATATTCAGGGTCATTCATCCATTCCTTTGTTTGTGGGTTGGCTTTAAGCTTCTCAAAAATTTTCTGTTGTCTTAATTCTATTTCCTGTGCCTGTTTTTTCACTTCCGCCAGCCCTGTTTCCAATTGTTGATTACCCGGTTCTAGTTTTAAGCCCTCTTCGTAGACAGCAATTGCCTCATCATGCCGTCGCAAATAGGCCAATGCACTACCCTTTCTAGAGTAACCCTTAATCCAAGAAGGATTTAGGGATACACACTTATCTGCGTCTTTCAAAGCCTCCTCGTAGTTGCCGATCTTCGCATGGGCAGCAGATCGATTGCTGTATAAAACGTGGTTATTTGGGTCCAAAGCAATCCCTTCTGAATAATATTTGATAGCATCATCGTATTGGCCAGACGATAAGGAAGCATTACCTTTCTCTTTCAACTGGTTCACCTGAAATTAGGTTTAAGATTAGACTGTAGGAATAGATATTGATACAAAAAAAACGGCAGTTGTCATAACCTTACCTTATCCATGACTAAACAAAATGTTTTCAATAAAAAATAGTAACGTTAGTCTCTTGTTTAAGTAGCACTTATTTTGATCGTTTACAGAGAGTTCGTTAACTTTCTGGAAATAGGTAATTTCCGGAAAACAGTGAAACAACACTTCCAGAAAATTCTCAATAAAAGTTGCGGTTTCGGCAATTGAGTAGCGAAATTTTAACAGCTGTCAGTGCTGCCATTTCACTATACTTAGTTTTTCGGAAATTATTACATTTAAAAATAAGTCAAGCTTTCTTAGTTCATAGTTATTTTATTACACTAATTTGAGTATGCGCCTCTGTAAAGTTAAGTAGAATTTAGAGATATTTATTCTTTTTTTTGGTATACCACAGACGGCCACAGCTAAATCATCTTTAGTTTTGCAATCTGTCTAAAATAAATGTATGAGTTATCTATATTTCTCGGCTGTCGAAAGAAGTGTCACGCTAATCGCGAATTTTTGGCTTTCGTGATTGTAATTTGGTAGCGTTGTGGGGAAAACCAAATTATTTTGTTTTAATCGATGGCCGTCTGAGTTTTTCTGTCTTGTATTAGAGCACAGTTGCGCGTTCCCGCTGCTTCTGGTGACTCATCAAGACTTCATATACTTGTCATTATGGACACGGACGATGGTGAGTCCTCGAGCAGCGGGCCGATGTCGAGCTTGAATAGCTTGTTTTCATTTACAAGTCCCGCTGTCAAGAAGTTACTAGGGTGGAAACAGGTATGTGGAATTGATATTTGTAATATAATGAAGTGAAGCCGCGCTTTTACTCTATCTTCAAGTGTGGCTCCAAGTTGCACAATTATAAATGAGATGGTCAATTTCAATGATGTACAATAATAAAGTTAAGGCGAGTGTTTGAAATTAACAAATTTTTTAAACTGAGTACACTAAATATATTAATTTTATTCAACTTGTTGCCGTTAATTGTATGATTAAACAAGATTTGTATATTTTGTATATGAAAGTTTTTTCTACATCTGGTGTTCCCCCCTATGTTTCAACTGTTTGTAATGGTTTAGATAAACTTCACTATAGACACAATCTTACAGAAAAAATCAATATTGATAATTTTGCTGTGGGTCTGGTAGGTTTAGGTATATAGACTTGAATTTTCACAATGAGGTTATAAAATATTTTAGTCTCTATATTATCTTTATTTGTATTTGTTTAAACCCCTAATACTAAGTTACATTACTGTCTGTGACTACAGCTCACTGGGAAAACCCAGATATGTTGACTACACATTGTTAACTACTGACTATAAGTCAAACTAAGCAGTATTAATTAAATTGATAGTTATTAAAAATGTACATGTGTTGAAATTTTTAGCATTGTTTTATTATATTATTGTCTTAATACCAGATAAGCTTTTTACAAAATTTTCTATTGGGGACACTGATAGAAGGCTGGGTAATTATTCTAGGTTATCTTAGAACATTTGACCTTCAGAGGGATTGGGTTATCCAACTCTCACTGTACACTCTTCATGCCTTCTAATTTCTTTGCAGAATCTTATTATTGTTTCCATCTTTAATTCTTTGTCACCAGTTATGGCTATATTGTGAGCTTCCATATCTTAATTTTGAATACATTTAGTGATAGCAGAGCATCATATCTCTCAGTAGATAGATACTTGTTTCCTTTCCCCCCCTGCAGTTCCTGTGAGTTTACATCATTGCAAGATCTTTACATGACAATGCCCTGTTATCATTTCTACAATTAGTCAAATATTCCTCCTGATTAATCTGTAAAAGTACTTTGTCTTATCTGTGCTTTTTATGCAAATGATTATGTCTCGTCGCTATTGACAATTTCCATCTTTTGTTACTTACTTGTACTTCATACTTAATCATGCTTAATAACTTTGGTTAGTTTAGGTGTTACCTTGGTTTTGATTCTTCGCAGCGAGTCCACTTATCCTACTGTAAGTTTAGCTTGTATCATCTTATATTTCTCCTTCTTTACTTCAGTGCCAGCACATGGAAAAATGGACTTACGAAGTTTCACCAACAAGATTGATCTTCTTACCTTTATTTCATCTCTCGACTCTTTTTCTAGCTATATGTGTTACATATTGTTATCCGCATGCATCCAATTCCCTCTTTATAAGGCCGTTACTTAAAACATGTACTTATCATTTTCTTTCTATAAAAAAATGCCAAAATGGATGAACTTGAACCAGAAATCACAGGATTACATCTGCTGAAGAATTTCTCTACTTGACCACATCTGCATTGCTCTATAGTGTACTAGTACTACTTGAGAAAATATTATTAATTCCTAAGAAAACAAAGCAACTGTATATGTAATATCTAGAGCTCATAGCGAATACTACAGAGGTAATATAAAAAACGTTTGCAATTTGTGTAACAATTATATAGTGTTTTTTTTTTCATTCCAGGGTGATGAAGAAGAAAAATGGGCTGAGAAGGCCGTAGATAGTCTGGTTAAGAAATTGAAGAAAAGAAAAGGTGCCATTGAAGAGTTGGAGCGGGCTCTGTCTTGTCCTGGCACACCATCAAAATGTGTCACTATTCCAAGGTCATTGGATGGCAGATTGCAGGTTACTATTTATCCTCATTTGTTTTTTTATCTATTAAAGTAACATATTTTATTAAATAAAGGATGTACACATAGGGTCCTCACACTTTAGAGAGATGGCTTGCCAGCAAAGTAAGATGCAAAAAAAAGTAATAACTTCCAAACAAAAAATATATTTTTAATTTTTCATTATCTTTATCAGAACTTAATAATGTTAAATAGTGTAAAATTTGTTTTGAATTTTCAGACGTGTGAAAAGAAAAAAAACTAAACCTTTAAGTTATAATATTTGTTATTTCTATTGACTTATTCTTATTATAGGTATCACATCGCAAGGGTCTGCCTCACGTTATCTACTGTCGAGTATGGCGGTGGCCGGATCTACAAAGTCACCATGAGCTCAAACCCCTGGAAATATGCCAGTACCCTTTCAGCGCTAAACAGAAAGAGGTTTGCATTAACCCATACCACTACAAACGAGTCGAAAGTCCAGTACTACCACCAGTTTTGGTGCCGAGACATTCAGAGTTTGCGCCAGGCCATTCCCTCCTACCATTCCAGAGAACGACGGAACCATCTATGCCTCATAACGTTTCCTACTCTGGATCTGGATTCCCACCTTCAGCGACATCGGAGTTGCCTGACACCCCACCGCCAGCATATTCCCCACCGTCAGACGACTCCGAACCACCTGGGGAAGTTGCGCCCGTCTCTTACCAAGAACCATTATATTGGGCATCGGTTGCATACTACGAATTGAACTGCAGGGTCGGTGAAGTGTTCCATTGCAATTCACACTCAGTTGTGGTTGATGGATTTACTGATCCATCTAACAATAGTGATCGCTTCTGCCTGGGGCAGCTGAGTAATGTCAACAGGAACTCCACTATTGAGAACACCAGGCGCCATATAGGGAAAGGGGTGCATCTGTACTATGTAGGCGGTGAAGTGTATGCCGAGTGCCTGTCTGATGCTGCGATATTCGTGCAGAGTCGGAATTGTAATCATCATCACGGTTTCCACCCGTCCACAGTGTGTAAAATACCCCCCGGATGCTCACTTAAGATTTTCAATAATCGGGAGTTCGCTCAATTGCTATCGCAAAGCGTAAACCATGGCTTCGAAGCGGTGTACGAGCTGACGAAGATGTGCACGATCCGTATGTCGTTTGTCAAGGGTTGGGGGGCGGAGTACCATAGGCAGGATGTCACCTCCACTCCGTGCTGGATAGAGATCCATCTGCACGGCCCGCTTCAGTGGCTAGACAAAGTGTTGACCCAAATGGGCTCCCCACACAATGCAATTTCCTCTGTCTCTTAGCCGGACCGCTCATATTAATAACGATTTTGCATTTTTAACTGCACAGTGCCATAGACTCTTGAGTGGGTTTCAGTTTTCCGTTTCATGGGCTAGTGTAAGAATGCATTCCAGATATGGTGTCAAGGTCATTAAAGTCAGTTAATTCAGAGCCTGTAGCCAGATAAACAGGAATAATTATATTACAACAATTTACTCGTACAAATAAATAAAAACGTTTTAACAGTTTAAAACGCAAAATATAGTATTTGCTTTTAACTACGACTCGACGTTTCGGAAGCCACGGGGTTACTGATGGAGGCCGTCCCTAATAAAGTTTGATATATTCCACGTTTTAAACCTTAGTTAACCACACGCGACAATACTAATATACATAATACAAACAAAATGGTCAAACATAGGTATTTATTGAATAACTTGAGTCTTTTCACTGAAAGTAGTAAATCGAAACGAACATGGACCGTTTTGGGCCTTTTATGGGACTTTGAAGAAAGGACAATTTGTAAATAGACTGTGAGTTACTTGGTGAATTACCTGGTTTTTTTTTTCACAAACAAACTTCTTTAATATCTAGAAGTGCTTCCTCTTACCGGACTACCAATGAAACGATATAAAGTTTTAATATCGCCATTTAATTACTCAACACAGTTGATTCTTTATAAATCATTATTTTATGAACTCATAGCTCAAATTATGTGTCCAAGTACTAAGAGTAAGACGTATCTTAGCGTATTTGTATTAATATAAAGACATTGATTCTATAATGTTTAATGTATGACAATGAAACCTGATATTATATGTGTAAATATTGGCGAAAGTGTGCTTTTTGTGTAATAGAGAATATAGTGTTGTATAAGTTTTACTAGCAGGGTTTCAATTTATAGGCATATTATAGCAGAAGTGGCACATTTTACTAAAATAAATCAGAATATGGCAGTACTGTGTAATTTGCAATCCTTTCTTTATAATCAGAAGGTTAAACTTTTGCGATAATAAGACGAATTTTTTTATAAAGCCTAGTTTAAAACCTAGTTAAAAACGTGGTTGTCTATCTATCTAATGAGATAGACAACCAATGTATACTGGAGTCTAGAGCGTATACAACATGACACCCTGTTAAGTATTGTGAGCACAATGATCTATACACATGAATCTAACGCAGTTTTGTAATAAATAGTGTAAAGCATTCAAGACGAGAGTTTACAGACTAGACCGTTCACACAAATCGTTTGTGGCGCCCTCTATTGGCTTAAAATAATTGTGATGTTTATTTTACGTGAGAATTTTGTAAATAATTGGGAAATGAAATTGCGTTTGGGGCCACCCTGTTGTCGTTAAAGTGTATTAATGTTAAGATATCGATAAAGTAAGTATATTAAATGTCGATCTTATTTAGCTTAAATATAGTCAGGATCACAGAATAGAAATGGCGGCGTATAGTGATGTCGTTAAGTTCTGTCGTATACTGTATGCCTTATTACCTTATTATAAGGTATATTTTGTAATTTAGTTAGTAACTTTGTCTAGGTACGTGTACAATTTTACAACGATATCGTTAGTGTTGGACAACTCGAACGATGAGAAAGGTAAAAAATAAGTAACATATAATACGGCGTACCATGAAATGTAATACGCACCGTGCTTCAGCCATGCCATCTATTATACATTTGTATTTACAATAAACCGCACGTTGTATGTGACAGTACACGTACATTTCCAAAGCTATACTGTGTTTTAGATGCCTTATTTCAGGTATTGCATTCACGAATTTGATAGTGCCATTGATTACGTATAAAACAACACAAACATGAGGAAAATTGTAATAAATATAAATGTTGGATTCTGCAGATTATTCGTACACTGTTTAATCGGGACCGCGTCAACTAAAGATTGAATTGATCTCAAAATAATGTTTAAGCTTCTTTAGTTCCTACTAAAGACTTAGGCGGGTCCCATTAAAAATCTATCTTTTGAAATTCTACTGTTTAATAATTATTTCGAATATACCCATAATAATGTGTCTAAAGTTATGAGGATAATTGATTGATGTTTATTCACACTGTAACTACCCGCTTTTACAAAACACAAAGTGAGGGTATTTTTTCCGTGCCTTTGAAAGTAATGCCTATGTATGTGCCTACATGTAGTTTGCTGTATACCGTCCGTAAATTTCTCCAATAACTATAACTAAATATTAAGAACTTTAAATGCAGACTTAGCGGGCTGATAACAGATGGACTATAGCATGCTGGAAGAAGCGTAACCCAAAGAATTGAGATGGCAGTCCTTCTAAATGCCTTTTACAATTTAGAGTTATTTTTTGTCCTGAAAACATTAATTTTGCTTTAGCATGTCAAACGAAGAACGAATCTCGCATTTTTTTTAGACTTGGCCGATTTTTTGTTCCCAATAAAACCCAGATTCTACAATACTTTGTAATATAAACAACACGTGCCTTTATAAAAAGAATACAATACGGTGAGGTACAAGTTCTATATAAATAGATACGACTTTCTTGTGTTATAATATTACTTATACTGAAATACATTTTTATCTAATATAGTAAGTTTGGAGATCAAGAATTATAGAATGATATATGTATACTCTTTTATTAGGTATTTTGCAGTACAGTCATATACAAAGATGTTATGTTTTCTATGGTTTTAATATATATTCATTTGTACAATGCAGGTGCTTATAGAGTTTTTATTTGCGGTACTTTATTTAAATATTTGCGATATTATGAATGTGAAATTGTATATATTAATATGGGATGTTGTAATTACTGTCTTTAGAATTATTAATTCGAACAAGTTAATACTTAGGTAACATGTGCACATTTTTCGTGATTGTTCTTTAAAGTTGATCAAAAGAGATATGACACTAGGAGCTCGCTTTGAAACACTGATAGTGCAATGTCCTGGCTTGTAAGGATACAATCTAATGAAAATTTTATGTCAAACGATATTTACTTGTACTTCTCGGGAATACGAATCATGTGCTTCAAGTGAGAATGGTTCGGACGTTAATTCATTGTTTTTGAGTAGGTTTGGATGCTCAGTGGCCAGTAATGAAGAGTTGATAGAGTAATATCTCATGAAATATTCATTTGTTACACTGCTATCCTTAAAAATAATCACATTTTTTTTATCGCAGTACTACGTTTGTTACCCTTGAGCCATTCACGTGAGTTGTGTTCCCAGTAATACAATCGTATACTGTGTAATTACATTGACTATACTGTGCGTGTAAACATCCTATATCGTAAGTGTCGACACAAGCAGACAGGGTTAGTTGAATGGGGATGCCGTTGTTCATGTAACTTTTACTATGATATTTTTCTCAGTATAATAAAGTTTCCTTTATTTACACCCCGGTGTTTTATTTCTTAGGCTACCACCAGGTAGTACGCAAGGTATAGTTTTTTACTGCATATCTGGAATCTGTAGCTTCAGTTTAACGCAAGATCCACTTCTTAAGACAAAGTGTTGATGTGCTCGTTGGTCGAATGATAGCTAGTATTCAGAAGAGTCGTAAGTCGAATCCCTACGGGGTCTTACATCTTTCTGATCAATGGCAATGAAATGAAGTGATACATTTTTCTGAGACACCTTGGACTTCGTCTAGTAGTCTGGATATATAATATCGAAATTATTTCCGGCTCACAAAAGAAACCGCCGTTCTTTCTTTTTGCGTCTAATAAGTAATTCATTATATGTATTAAGTCTAGTATTTGATTAGGGCCTGAGAATGTAAAGTATCGGAAACGTTTCCTCATTCCAAGGGAACCTGTGGGCAGGATGTATTTTTTCCTCGAATGACTAAATTATAGAACTCTCGTTCTATTGATTGTCATATTTTTAGTTCTAGAGTTACTATGCAGATTATATTTAAGACGACTCAACGTTTCGACTTTGGTTTTTTTTAAACAATACAATGCAAATATTTATTACTTTTGCAAATAGATAAAATCAGAACGTCTTCAAACAGAAGTCGTAAAATATAGTAAACGACGGCGGCGGAAGAACTAAATGCAAAGAATGATAGTGGATATAAATACATCGAATAATAGTGACCCATATTAATACCGAATACGTTTTATATACTCTTTCTTTAAATGAAATTAAAACATTTGTAGCGCTCATTTAATCTTTCATAACAACATTATTTCTCGATAGAATTACTATAATTTCACAGAGAGCTGTTGAAATGTTTATTCGATTCAATATTATAGACTACGAAAGTTCTAAAGCTATATTATTCTTTGAAAACTTTATTATTTCTAACATGTTATAACACACGAAGGCACTACATAATTTAAAAATCGAAAATAAATTGAAAAACGTTGCTGTTGCTCTACCAATTCAGCTACACGAATGAACGGTGACGATGGCGGTTCAAGTCCTTCCCGAGTCGAAAAATATCAATTTATTTTCGATTTTTAAATTGCATTTTTCTTCTTGTAATAGTGAACCATAAATTAAGGTTTGTACATATTTATAATCCCAGCTATAACTTTTAATGCGTATCTATAACTTATATAGTCTCGTTTTGAACGGCCTAACCGACATCCGTGCAGTTTAAAAGTTAATGTTATTATATATTCTAATTTTATGACAGAGAACGGAGAAGCAAGATTCACTTGACTGGAGGACCCGCAGCGCTCATGTCAACATCTAAACATGATGCACTGTATAGGTATTTTAGCTTAATTCACGCCGTTCCGTCCGTTCTGGTTCGTCATTTGGACGAAATTTTTAATATTGCTACCAGATTACCAAGCATTGACGTGATCAACTTTTTAACCGGATGAAACAATATAAATGCAATACAAGGAGAGTATACTAAAAGAAGGAAGTAGAATACTTTATTGTATGTACCTATAAGTTACAGTGTACCAACCATTGCGTAACAGATATCATAGTCATCGCACACGTAACAGTAGCGAAATAACTGCATATCGTAAGACGAGTCTGGAATCCTTAATACCTTTGTGTCAGGGA